TTTTGCCACTTATGCGTAGCTTATAATGCTAAAACTATGGTCTTTACTATATTTCAATCAATAACGTTATTTAAAATTAAACACAAACCTTATCAGACTTTCGATGTCCTGTCTAGTTGTGAATTCCAAAATGATAACAACCCCATTTATTGCCTTTTATTGCACTCCTATTATCACAATCACCCGGAAAGATTTAAGGTTCAATATATATCGAGGGTGTGACCATATACCTGAGGTATAATTCGTTGGGTAATTACGTACAAGGTGTTTAGACTAACCGTTATTTGTAAGATAATTTTGTTTATATATATAAGATAAGAAAACTATGCATTGTGAAATATAAAACCATGAATGACGCGATAAAACAAAGGAATATGGACAGTGTCAACTTCATTACGTATTCAATATACTTTTACTTAAGTGTTCACGTTATCTTTTATATAACTTAGTATTTTCGCATCACAAGGGTCCATCATAATGCTAATTATCATAACTTATTAGCACGTTCATGGTTCCATTTTGATACTTTCTAATTTCCAAAATATACATATTTGAAGTCTATCGTTTTATGATAAAAGAAAACGGGTGATTGGACACTAAAAACATGAAATGCCAAAGAAACAACTTTCTAACACAAATATCCAAAGTTTTTTTTTTATTTCTTTTTAATACGTCTATTTAAACATTTTACTTGAAAAGGAGATCTTTTTATAGTATAACGCCCTTCTCTCCTTATAGAATTTCATTTGTTTTACAGCTCTTTTACAACACTGTTTCAATGCCTTGTATATAAATGAAATGTTAATTACAGAATGTATCAATGACTTTCAAGACAAGAAAGAAACTAAAGTAATTAAATTTCATTCAAAATAGGAAGTTTAAAAGAGTGTTTACATGTAACTGAGCGGGACTCCCGAGAATTCCATCCTTTCAAGTGACATTTCTTTTGAATCATATATAAAGTAGAAGAAATGGTGACACATAAATAGTGATAAAAAGTCACGATTTACAGATTTACGTATTGAACCAGTCTTTTGACCTTCCTTAATACTTAATAGAATTTATGATATTGATCTAACAGCTTAAAACTCCTTGGACAAATAAATAGTTAGCAATAAAGAAGTTTTATTAACAGGAACTTATAAAGAACATACATGTATGAATAAGGAAGTGAGACATTCGCCATCTACGATTGTTTTCAATCGTCTCCCTTGAATTCGTGGTCATTGCGTAAGGTTAAAATGAAGTAATTATTATATAGGCGACAATGGTAGCCTTTTTGGGTTCTACGTTTTTACTATAAAAATTCCGTTGAAAAAACTGTCATATTCTGAATTCAACACCTTTGGTTATGAATCAATTTGCAAAACACATATGATGCCGCAGCTTTTTTGATAGAAAAATGGCATTTTTTAAGGGTACTCTATGGTTCCAAAATTTTCAAATTGATATGAATGACAAACACCCCTTGCTTAATTTTCTACAGAAAATGTTGTTCATCACAGATATAGTTTCCTCAAAATTTCTCGCTATGTCTACATCAAGAGTCAACAATAATTTCTCACTATTTCAATTTTCTTTTCTAAATAAGTAACAGGGCAGCAGAATAAATTTACTTCTACCTACTATCTTAGGGAGGTATGTCCAAGACACAATGTAGTCTCGATATCGACGACATCAACGATATCGAGTCGATATCGACAAATAATGATCCAAATGTTTATCTGCTACATTTTTCTATATAGACAATTTAGTTTCTCCTGGTTCGTCTAATAAAGATGTCGATATCGACGACATCGACGATATCCAGTCGATATTGACACATTATGTTCCAAATGTCTATCTGTTTTACAGTTATGTATATAAACAATTTTAGTTTCTCCCAGATCGTCTATTTTAGATGTCGATATCGACGATATCTACGACATCGTGTCGATATCGAAAAATTATGTTCCAAATGTTTATCTCCTACAGTTATCTGTATAGACAATTTAGTTTCTCCTGTTTCGTCTGTTTTAAGATGTCGATATCGACGATATCGACGACATCGAGTCGATATCGACACATGTTCCAAATGTTTATCTGCTACAAATATCTATATAGACAATTTAGTTTCTCCTGGTTCGTCTGTTAAATATGTCGACGATATCAATTCCATATCAACATTTAAACATTTTCTTCATAATTTGTTTCTCTATTTATTTCGTTTAGTTTACGTACCTTAATTACTCACTAAGATAAGGGGATGTTGCACGATTTGCAATGAGACAACAGACCACAATACACAAAAAGAATGAAGATGTTAACAACTATACGTCACCTAACAGTCTTCACAACAAAGGTTAACAATAATACCGGCATAATAAAATATCAAATATTTCAAATGGGAAAACAAACATCCTGATTTATGTATAAATGATAAACAAAAATCAAATATGACTGACAGCAACGAACGACAACCACTTATTCAAAGAGCTCCCGAGAAGGGTCAATCACAATAAGGATGTGGCGAGGTTAAACTTGTGCGTTAAAACTTCCCTTAAATCTATGACGGTGGTATAGCATAAATACATAAAATTCAACAAATAGACAAAATCACAAAGTACCGATTTAAGAGTACTCGAAACTATTCAAATAAAGTTAAAATCTAATTTCAACCTATAGATAAACCATGTTTTCTCTGTTTGAAATGGGAACCAGTTCACATCCCATGGATTTGAATTTTACATAGCAAGTCATGTTTGTACTATATCTGCATTTTTAGATCTTTATATTCAACCATATCTCACTTAGTTAACACTTATATTACCATGTCAGCCATTGTCAATGTAATACAATGTAATTGTTTTTTTTTTAAGAATACATTAGTGTGTTTTAAAGGGTACATTACTTTGGAGATGTGACCACCTGATTGTCTTTTAAAAAAATAAATAGATTTCAATTCAGCCATCATCTATCCCTATATCAATCTTCGGTCTTAATCTATGTATATAATCAGCTTATTATGTCTTATATTTATTTATTATCTTAAGTCATCATCGATATCGAGTCGACATTGTCGATATCGACGATATCAACATCAGGTTTTGTCATTGGTGTCGTCATCAAAATCTACATCTGGTTATGATATGCGTGTATAAGTTCATCGATATCGATTCGACATTGTGTCGACATTGCCGATATCGACGATATCGACATCTTGGTATGTCTTGGACATGTATGATCTTAGGTGGCGCAAATCATCTTTAATTACTTCATTTTAACCGTAAAGCCTATGATGGCATTCATGATATGTGTTACATGTATATCCACCAGGGACATATAATACGAATTATGAAGTCCTAAACATGCATGAACTATGTGTCACTGGACGTTAATCAAACAACAATCAATCATCACTATTCCCAACTGTAAAAATGTGAAAACACAAATAAACTGAAGTCAATACACGTGTATTATCGTATGATTTGCTGATATTACCCCAGCAGAATGGAAGTGTGGAAAAGGGGGGAGGATAAAGAGTTTTCTCTTTCAAAATATGTAGACAAATAAGGATGCGACTTGTATTCTTTGGAATCAATGTTGATCTTTGACAATGTGCTATTCAAACACAGCAACTATAGTTTACGTTTTGATCATTATGGAATATATGCAAACTCTTCCGGAGCACCTGAGATCAACTAAGTTTTGGTGGGTGTTCGTGTTGCTCAGTTTTAAATTTTTTATCTTGTGTATTGTGGACTTGGTTGTCTCTCGGTTTGTTTTTTGCAATATCGATGTCAGTTTATCTTCGACTTATGAGTTTTGAATGTCCCCATGGTATCTTCTTACTCGTTCTTACTTGATTTATATCGACCGAACTTTAAGCGCCTAATATATTTAAGACAAATCACGAAAAAAAATAACCATGGTCAATTCAGGATCTATAAACTTTGCCCCTTTCTTGTGTGTTCATCTTCTCTCAAATATAATAATTAGAGTGAAAAATTAAAACAGTCACATTGATGTTTCCAGTCAGTTAAAAACACCAGTGCTATTAATGCGCGGAATTTATAGACACACATTCCCATCGAAACTCTATATGGACCTTAATATGATATGATCATAACACACTTCATCGTTCGTACACATTTAACATCTGATATACAAATTATGAGAACCATTAGTCGAATAAAAACAGACCACAATATGGTCAAAAGAAACCGACAAAATAACAACAAAAGTTCAGAAACATTACACATAATACAGTAAAAGATTAGTCAACACAAATCCTATCAAATACTTGAAGGGTAGGCAGCACCAGTTGTGTTGTCGTTCTTGATATGAACGAATTATTTTTCACTGTTAACCAAAAACCGACATGTATTTTTCACACGGTTGGCTGATGGTGGTAACGCGACGCCAGTCAGCAAATACAGGGGGAGGGGGGTATGTGGCGATGAGAACACATTCAGTCACCTATTTACAATGACTGTCATTTGATGCAAAACAACATTTAATAAATTTTATGCGTCCGAATCTCTTTCTGGTTTTAATTTCATCAGCAACAATCAAAGCTGAATATTTGAAAGCCAATGATCTATAAAAGCCGAAACAGTTGTAGAGCTATAGGACAAAAAGGACCTAAAAATAATAGCCAAATCAATCTTAGGTCAATGTTGCTTTAAAATCATACATTTTAAACAAAAAATATCCTTTACTCTGTCAGAACTACGAGTAAAAATATCAATATTACAATAATATATACTATTCTCAATCCCTGCATGTCTTTGAACTCAAATGCATACGTAAAAGGGTCCTTTAGTATGTTGGAACTGCGAGTATTAAGAAAATTTATTTTTAAAATCTCAAAATGATTCGTATTATATTTCAAATGGCATTTAATTTCACTATTGAAATTAACTATTCATTGTCAATAGATATTGAAACAATACAGTTCAAAACTTTGAAGTTGTCATTCAAATTCAACGAACCAAAGTATACAATCACGGTTACTGATTGTTTTGTTTTGGGTTTTTTTTATAACAGAAAGTATGGAGAGTTTTAATTTTCGTATATAAAATGTAAGTACTTAGTATTTGAAGGAAAATATAAGGGCAGTTATATATTGATTTGATGCTAGACTTAGACAATAGGCAATATTGAAATATAATTTATAAAAATAAACAAGAATTGTAATGTAATCAATATAACATCTTTGAATAATAGATTATAATATAAAATATGAAGTGTGGTATGATTGCGGACGAGACAACTATCCCTACTAACAGAGTCTAAACGACGTGGATTTAGGCAAATAATGATACTACTATCCAACAGAGATCCAACAAAGTCCAAACGTCGTGAATTTAGGCAATTACAAGTCACCAATGACCAAACCCCATACTGTTTATTATATATAGAATGCTTGATAATACAATGAACATTTATTTTTCGATCAAAGAGTTAAGACAAATATAGATACCTAAAGGAAGCTAAAATTTCCTGTTACTGGTCAAATCAAAGACAATTAGTATGTTCGTGAGTTGTAACAAGATACAGAATAAATGTGAGGCCAAACTAAATATAATTGTTTCCATCCACTTATTGGTAGAAAAATGGGGTAGGTATGTAAAATAATTTTATTTTTTCCGATATTTAACTAAAAATGTGTAGGCATGATATTTTAGGTTAGGAACGGGAACCAATATTTTTTGGCCTAAGTGGTAGCAAGTTACAAAATAAGTTATACAAGATTAGAATAGTAACAGATAATCCTGCAACTTTTGATTCCATTGAGGACAATTAACTGTCACGTGACTGGTAAAGTTTCGAGGGAGAACGTTCACTTCAATAAAGAGCTGCGCCATGAGCGCATGATACGCCCGTCTCTTTTTCAACGAATAAAAGCTCCATAACTCCTCAATGTCATATCAAAAATGTATAAGAAAAAACTAAAGGGAGGTCATTTTGATAGATATAAACCAGTCACCAAAGTTTAATGATAACTGCTCAAAGCACTTTTGAGTTATTGTCCGAAAAACTGGAAAATCCCCCCTTTATTTATGAATAAAATCCCAACTCGGAAACGTAAAATCTAAAATTTATAAAAATCAATAGGGAGCTTAAGTCAAAAGATATAAACAATTCACCAAAGTTTCATGAAAACTGCTCAAAGCATTTTTGAGTTATTGTCCGAAAACTGGAAAATCCCCCTTTCTAATGAATAAAACACCATAACTGGGAAACGTATAAACTAAAATTTATAAGAATCTAAGGGGAGCCTACGTCAATAGATATAAAAAATTCACCAAAGATTCATGCAAATTGGTTACAGCGTTTTTGAGTTATTGTCCGACATGTTGACGACGGATGGACAGACGGACGGACGGACGGACAACGGTATACCATAATACGTCCCGTAAACGGGCGTATAAAAAGATGACCAGTTTCATTGAATTATAAAATCACAGTAATTACAATTTATGATAATTGTCATCATATTGAGAAAATTCATTTAGTTTGTCTTATAATGAATCCATAAGGACATACGATACAGTTACAGGGGAGGTTATGACGCTGATAACGTGAAATGTTATTTTTCTCGACGTCAAACTGTGACATATCCGGAAAAGATGCGTTTTTCGACAGATTTTAATCATTAGCTTGAAAACGAGTACATGGACCCCTATTTTCAAAAATGACATTTGATAAATCCTACTTTGTAAAGAATCACTCTGATTTAAACAAAAAATTCTCTGAAACTGACATTATCAAGATGCTTGATTTCTTGATTGACAACATATTTGTTACGTTTGGAGGACGTGTTTTTCAACAGACTATCGGAATTCCAATGGGAACCAATTGTGCCCCTCTTCTTGCCGACTTGTTTCTTTATTATTATGAGGCTGACTTCATACAGGAACTTCTTAGGAAGAAAGATAAGAAGTTAGCAATATCCTTTAACTCTACGTTCCGCTATATAGATGATGTTCTCTCACTAAATAATACAAAATTTGGTGACTATGTTGAACGAATCTATCCCATCGAACTAGAGATAAAGGATACTACAGATACAGTTACGTCTGCCTCATATCTTGACTTACATCTAGAAATTGACAATGAGGGTCGGTTGAAAACAAAACTTTACGACAAAAGAGATGATTTCAGCTTCCCAATTGTGAATTTTCCATTTCTATGTAGCAACATTCCAGCAGCGCCTGCATACGGAGTATATATCTCCCAATTGATACGATATTCCCGGGCTTGTGTTTCCTATCATGATTTCCTTGATAGAGGATTGCTGCTCACAAGGAAGCTATTAAGCCAAGAGTTCCAAATGGTGAAGTTGAAATCATCCCTTCGTAAATTTTACGGACGCCATCACGAGTTGGTTGACCGTTATGGAATTACCGTTTCACAGATGATATCGGATATGTTCCTTATGTCGTAACTACAATACCCTTCCCTTTTCACGAATATGACTTACCGAATTAGACTATTTACCGGATTTGTAATAACATAAGCAACACGACGGGTGCCACATGTGGAGCAGGATCTGCTTACCCTTCCGGAGCACCTGAGATCACCCCCAGTTTTTGGTGGGGTTCGTGTTGCTTAGTCTTCGGTTTTCTATGTTGTGTCATCTGTACTATTATTTGTCTGTTTGTCTTTTTATTTTTGGCCATGGCGTTGTCAGTTTGTTTTCGATCTATGAGTTTGACTGTCCCTCTGGTATCTATCGTCCCTCTTTTTGAATTGATTATGTATGAAGATTATTTGTACCAATTCTTATGAACAAATCACCGATGATTTTTTTTTTCAATTAAATAAATTTACAGCAAATATGCCGGGTTTTTTTCTAAAATCATGAAAATGTAATTATGCAATTGAAATAAATTTTTTCGAAAGAATAGTTACAAAAATTAAGAGCATATTTATGTAAAGAAGATGTTCAAATTGCTTTAACAAAAATCCGCTTGTGTTTATCTTTTGCAACAAAAAAGTTAGGTCTGTCTTTCCAAATTGAAAGGATAGAAATTTCCAAGAAATCGAAATTTTTAGTATATGTCTAAAATTCATAGTATAGTATAAAGCAGAAGAAATATAATTTTTAATATGATTCTATCTCAATTAACTTGTACGAGTAAACGTAATCGAGCAACATGAAAGAGTTATAATCAGCTCAAATGTAGGCGTTGCCTTGCACCTACTAAGTACCTCTCTTGTTATTTGGTCATACATGTAAGTAAGGACAATCTATGGCAAATTCTAGAAAAATTATAAAACACCAAGTAACCCACGTGTCATATGTGAAGATGCTAATTATCACACTTAAGGATGTACTTAGGTCAGGTTCAGGAATTTTTGTCAGATGTTCAGACTCCTTGTTTTTTTTCTATGATACAGGGTAAAATATTTTGCCCCATAACACCCATTTTTCATTTCATATAAGACTTCAATGGCTCATAAAAGGTCATTTACCAAAATTTAAGCAGAATCTAGATTTTTTTCTTTCGATTTGAGACCCAAGTAATACCAATGCAAATATAAGGTAAAAGTCCAAGTCAGCCTTTTCCCGCCATTTTTAAAAAAATAAATATCTTGAAAAGGAGCTCCATAACCTTATATTTTTAGCTTATTTTGTTCCTAAACTAAATTGAATGCTCTTTTGACTAATAGTATCAATTTCAAATTCTATATTTGTTTAATTTCACCTTAGTACATCCTTAAGGCAGACGAACTTCATGTGTTAAGTGGACTTGTTTGTCTTTTCATCGTTTTTCGTTTTTTGCCATGACGGTGTCTTCGACTTGTGAGTTTGAATATCCCTTTGGTACCTCCCGCCTCTCTTTCATACAAATGATTTTTTGGTCGATAATTTGAAGTCTATTATAATACTGTATCGGCTCTTGTATGCTTCAGTTTCAGGTAAAAATTAAAAAGATGGCAAGTGCAATCAAAGCAGCAAAGGAAGAGTTAATTTGTCACATTTGTAAAAACAATCTGAATGATCCAAAGACATTGTTGTGTCTGCATTCGTTTTGCAAAAACTGTATCCAAGGATTTATCGTTGAAAATGTCAGAAACATCAAGAAGCCAAAAGGTTTCGAATGTCCAACATGCAGACGAGAAACAAGTGTCACGAAATTCATTGGGAAGTCACCCGTTGATTGGGCAGACGAGCTTCATACCAATGAGTCTTTGGTCAATATTTTGAAACTTTTAACACTAAGCGATGACCAAACATCGAAACAGTGTCCTTTCCATATGAGTAAAGAAGTTGAATTCTTCTGCGAACAACATCTCACGTTGGCATGTTCCCTCTGTGCAAACATTACTCACAAATCGTGTGAGTCGGTGCTTCCGCTTTCAGAAGCAATAAGCAAACGCCGCATGAGCAGTAGCAAGATAATATCCGGTCTTTCGGAGCAAATTACCATGACTGAAAAGGTAATGAACAATAGGCACGTTCAGCTTGAAACAATAGAAAAGACAGAAATGGACATTAAAAACCAATTGGGCGATATGAGACAAAGGTTTATGGATTTTTTTGGTCAAATGGAGGGAAGAATTTTAGACAAAATTGCACAAGCGAGAATGAAAGAAGGTGGAGTACTCCAAACGGAGATTGACATATGTCACGGACTGCTTAATGAAATCGAAGATTCTATGAAAACTGTGCAAGAAGCTTTAGAATTTGCGGATGAAATTAAATTTCTTATTCAGTATAATGACCATCTTAAGCGTTACAGTGAACGACAACAACGGTTAAAGGCAATGGCTGAAAGTCTTAGGGATATCAGAATATCCTTTCAAGCTAACCGTGAGGTGGAACACTATCTATTTCAGATCAAAAGCGTTGGTACACTTAACATAGACAGAACACGTAGTAAAATAGCTGGACTTGGACAAACCCACCATGAATTGCTTGGCACTAGTAATCAAGACTTTATGTATGACTTTATAAATGTACCGAAGACAGCGAGATCAACTGTTGACATTGCTTTTGTCAGGCCAAATACACATCGACCGACTACATACAACCCGAGTTCAACGTCACTTCCGTCAATAAGATCGATCAGCGAGAAAGGAGATATGACGTCACGAACATCTCGCATGTCCTACGTTGAAATCAAATCTCAGCGAGATCCACCTCAGGTTGATTATGAAACAGAGCAACCAGGCGTCAGTATAGCATACAAAAGCTCAAAGACTGTCAAAGCAACTTTAAAGACTGAACTTGATGTCGCGGTTGCCTTTCAGAAAGAGTGCTCTATTGAAGGTGCAGCTTTTCTGAAATCAGGTTACATCGTACTGTCAGATTCTGCAAACAGTTCACTGAAGCTTCTCAATTCTAAATATCAGTTCCTGACAATGACCAAATTTTCTTCTAACCCTGGCGATATAACGACTGTAGGTGAATTCGACGTTGTTGTGTGTCTTCCCGACACAATGCGTCTAAAGCATCAGAAAATTGAAAACGAGCGTATATATTCTGGAGAGGTTTTGTCGGTTAGCGATAAATGTTACTCCGTTTCCTTTAACAAAGGAACACTTGCCACCTGTTCAAGCAAAAGCATTTACGTTTTCCAGCGTGACCATAACGCATGGCTCAAAACTACGACGATTCCAGTACGTTCCGAAAGTCTGATGTACATTGCCGTGGATCCTTCGGGAGAGAAAATCGTCGTGACTCGAAATGGACATCCTAACACGTCAATTATCTGCATGACAATCCGTGGAACTAAAATTTGGAATTTCTCTCACGAGAGCGTCAAGCTTCCTCGTGGGGTTGTTTTCTATGGCAATAAAATTCTCGTGGCAGCTTGGGATCAGCATAAAATACTTCAGATCAGCTCTGATGGTCGTCTAGAAGGGGTCGTCGTGAACCAAGGGATTCAATGGCCATGGAAAATCAGTCTTAATCATCGTGGGGACAAGATGATTGTCTCACAGTGCTACTATAGATTGCCAACGAAAGAGAAAAACTGCTTGAAAATATTTAAGCTTAGCAAACCGGAGCCGAAAGAGATTGTTACAGACCGATCAATAGAAGAATAAATATTGTCCGTAAGAAAAAGGCAAGATAAGAAAATTTCACACAAATAGAATAGAATAGTTTTAAAACTTTCAAACTTGAGCACAATTAGTTACAGAAATCGTAAATATTCAGTCATATATAAGTTATGCATTCTATTAAATCGGTTTTAGTTTAAAAGAGCCCACCATCATGTAGAAAAAAAAAGATTAATGCATATATACATTTTATCATCTATCTTAACTTTTCAATATCGAAATTAATCAAAGTACTGAAGTACTGAACATCGGATGACCACAAGTTCTTGAGGATGGTCAAAAGCACTTGTCTCAGAAAAAAAACAACATATCTCTTTACCTGAAACTGAGGTTAATGTACAGATATATATTTTTTTCTAGACAAGTGCGTGCGAGTATGATGAATAAATGACAGGAAATTCAACTTCACCGTAATAAATATTATATTGTAGTGATACAAATCAGTATACACTGATTTGTTGTTATATATTATATTAAAATAACAGTTACATATATATATGATTTGCATCCGTTTGTATATCATTCTATTCTACTGTTCTAATAATAGTGCAATGCAAGTGCATGGTGGACACTTTTCTGTAAAAATTCGATTTTTCTAAGATTGGATACGAGTAGGCATTCATATTTTCCCGCAAAAACAATTACAGAGTTACCGGTCCTGTCGCAAAACGTTCTTTGAGATATTCTTCCGCATGCTTTAACACAATTTTTCGGTACGTGTGCATTGATATTATCAATGATTTTTTACTTATATATATATATATCTAACTACAAAACATTTTCACATTATTAATTTATGTTGTAAACAAAAATATTTTTATCAGTATTCATTGAAGAGATGTATTTATATCAAATGACAAGGAATGTTATTTTGCACTCGTTTATGTGCGCATATTTATCATGTTTATAGATCGGTTACAAACCCAAAACTAATTTACATAATGGAAATATAGGCGATAGCAATACATCGGATTGACCTCAAGGTCATCGCGATGTAAAAAGTACCCCTCCTTTTTAATTTTTTGATTAACCACAAACACATCCGAACATTCAATATGAGGGTTTATATGAAAAAACATCAAAGCAGAAGGTTATTCAGAGTGTCGACTTTTGTTAGGTTAAGAATGGAGACAATCAACATCGTTTGCTTTCCAATATTAAAAAAGTGTTACTAAATTTTAATGTTGTTTGTTATATTTTTTCAGAACAAAAGGTCAAAAGATTAAATGTGATGCAAAATAAATAAACTTGGGTAAAAATGAAAATATGTACCATGTAATAAACAAGTCACGAAGTCCGGGTACACAAAATTACGGTACCGATATATCATTTGTGGTTTCACGTTAATGTCATAAGACACCTTTCACAAAAATTATTAGTGCATATATTGTTATTGATGAAATAACTGTAGAACACAGTGGAATTCCCATATTGACGTCATGCTAAATAAAGATATTGCTTAATCCTGATTATCCGTATTGTAAAATAAGCGCAAAAAAAGGAAGTCAAGATATCAAATATTGAGGATTTTGAAATAAAGATCAGTTGTTTTAATTTAATTGGTTTGTTTATATAACTCTTTAGAAAACAATCTGAACCCCGGAATCTGAGTTGTCCATTGATGTAAAGCACAAAACGGTTGACATGAAAGTTTTAGAAAGAAGAAGTACACGTCTAGTCGATGTTAAAGGTCTTCAGATTGCTTGACAGCAATCTTATCACAAAAAGCAAACATTTTTCACATCTTGACTTTAAATTAAGCGGAGATTTGGTATGTTGGTCAGTGAGACCACTATCAACCAAAGGCCAAAGATAATTTCAAAATAATTAATTTCATTGAACAATCACTATACACCCTCCCCCGGGCTCTTCACTATGCAAATTCACTATCGAGCTGATGGACCAATATATAAAGGTTTATACACAACTTGCGTCAAGGTAATTTTCAAGACAATGGTTCAGCCTTGTCTTGTCTTGCAGATCAATTTGCTAATTTAAGTTTCTATCTACCTATAATAATATTTGAGATATTAGAGAAAAACGCAAAAAATTATAAAAATTGTCATTAAAGGGCAATAACCGTCCAATAAGGATTCGTCTGACAATTTTGGCCATGTGGACTTATTTGTAGATTTTGTCTTGCTGATCATTGTTGCTCTATCTATTATAATATTCAAGATAATAGGCAAAAAATTAAAAACAATCGTCATTTAAGGGCGATAAGTGATATAAGAAGTCGTCTGACAGTTTTGATGTAAATGGACAATAGTTAGATCTCATCATTCTTATAATTTCTGCTCTTTCATATTTTCTTTATCTATAGCGGTTTTCAAGATAATAGACACAAGAGTGCACACGCTGAAATGTCTCGCCTTCTTTACTAATCATTGATATTATGTTGATAGTCCTAAATATAAAGCTTTATTACAACTGTCACATAAACTTAACATTAACCAAGTAAACTAAACATTGACCAATGAACCATGAAAATGAGGTCAAGGTCAGATGAACCATGCTAGGCAGGCATGTACAGCTAACAATTCTTCCATACAACAAATAAATTTTACCTATTGCTTATAGTTTAAGAAAAACAGACAAAAACACAAAAACTTCACACTGAGCAATGAACCTTGAAAATGAGGTCAAGGTCAAATAAAACCTGCGTGACTGACATATAGATCATAAAATATTACCATACACCAAATATAGTTAACCTATTGCATATAGTATTGGAAAAAAAGACAAAAACTCAAAAACTTAACTTTGACCACTGAACCATGAAAATGAGGTCAAGGTCAGATGACACCTGCCAGCTAGACATGTACACCTTACAATCATTCCATACACCAAATATAGTAGACCTATTGCATACAGTATAAGACAAGAGTGCACACGCTGAAATGTCTCGCCTTCTTTACTAACCATTGATTTTATGTTGATAGTCCTAAATACAAAGCTTTACTACAAGTAACACATAAACTTAACATGATCCAAGAAAATGAGGTCAAGGTCAGATAAACCAAACGAGAAATACATGTACACCTTACAATCATTCAATAAAACAAACATAGTTGACCTATTGCTTATTGTTTCTAAGAAATAGTCTTAAACAAGAAAACTAAACATTGACCAATGAACCATGAAAATGAGGTCAAGGTCAGATGAACCATGCCAGACATACATGTACACCTTACAATCAATTTAGGCATTAAATATAGTTGACCTATTGCTTATAGTATCGTAAGAAACAAACTTAACCATTAAAACTTAACATTGACCAATGAACCATGAAAATGGGGTCAAGGTCAGATGATACCTTCCAGACAGACATATACACCTTACAATCCTTCCATACATCAAATATAGTTGATCTATTGCTTATAGTTGAAGAGAAACAGACAAAAACACAAAAACTTAACACTGAGAAATAAACCGTGAAAATGAGGTCAAGGTCAAATAAAACCTGTGAGACTGACATGTACATCATAAAATATTTCCATACACCATTTATAGTTGACCTATTGCATATAGTATTAGAAAAAAAGACCAAAACTCAAAAACTTACCTTTGACCACTGAACCATGAAAATGAGATCAAGGTCAGATGACACCTACCAGTTGGACATGTACACCTTACAATCATTCCATATACCAAATATAGTAGACCTACTGCTTATAGTATCTGATATATGGACTTGACCACGAAAACTTAACCTTGTTCACTGATCCATGAAATGAGGTGGAGGTCAAATGAAAATTGTCTGACAGGCATGAGGACCTTGCAAGGTACGCACATACTAAATATAGTTATCCTATTACTCATAATAAGAAAGGAATTAACATTGGTGACCTAAAAAAAGGGGGGGGAAGTGTGCACGAGAAGTAATTCTTTTAACAGATTAAAGTATACATGTACTGCATTTGTAAAGTTTTATATTTCTTAATCATATACTAGTATTAGGTCAATTAATATTTCTTCGCTGTAGCCAGACATGAATTGTATTATATGTCTCTGTTGAAGCTGAGCCTCAGATGACTAGGTTGTTAGGAAGACCGACTTAAGTTTTTATTGTTTCCAACTCTCCAATGTTTCTGTTGTATAAGTTCCAGACGATTATAGAAGTACTTCTTCACAACAAAAGAGTTTCCTTATGTAAAGTACCAGATTCAGTACTAGTGCTAAAATGGTCTGAAGATATTTAAATTGTTTTTTTGTCGCAGTAATTGACTTTCAACTATTTCATCATATTAATTGAAACCTTTCGCAAAGCCAATTGTATAATTACATCGGATTCATGGTCTCTTTTACTCAATTACTATAATAGAAAATATTATTAAGTACATACGTAGCCATAAAGCATACCACATTTGTGCTTAAATTTAACGTTATCAATGAAAGTTGGTTTGTTTGTGTAGTTTTTACAGCTGAAATTCTTCAGTGAGTACTTCATTTACAAATGTTAATTTGCTCATTTGTAAGGTGAACCATGATTTTTTTATTAGTTGTAAATATAGAAACAAACTGGTCATTAGTGGATTGATTGGCTAACATACCTGGTGTTTTTCTTACAATACTAATGATTTCCTGGTCAAGCTAGCAAAAAAAAAAAAACTAAACTCCATCATTCGTTGAACACACTGAAGTATATATGCTATAAATAGGCTTCAATTCATTCGGATTACGTTGACATACTTTTGTTTTATTGTTCTCAATGTTTGTTTTGCTTTGCTTTGGTGTCAAAGGCATATGGATAAGATCTGTTCTGGTGGACTGCCTAAAAGGATAAGCATCCAGAAGCCAGTATTTCTGTGCTGGATTACTTCAAATAATAATTTTAATTAGAAATTTTAGTTTATATATTATGTTACTGTACTAAGGATAAAATTTCAACTCCCTCTGACAAAATTGATATACTGTAAATTCAGAAATTATTGCATGCATTTATTATTGGGATTGGACGAAAATGAGAGATTAATTATTGTGATTTCAGGAAAATCTGCATACAGATATATGTATCAAGTATCAGAATTATCATTACGATACCCACCCAGTCGCATTATTTGCATTAATAAAAACCCCGGAATATTTTCTTAATTTACAGTAGATGGATTTTGTAGTAATTCTGTTTAGATGACAATGGATTGCTCTTTAATGTCAAGAGAAAAATTAAATGTATATTCAGGACAAGAACATTAATATTAAGCCTGCTTTGTACTAGACCGACACACAGAGCCAGATTTTTACTGTGCTTGTTTACAAAGTAACACTCCGCAGGAAGATAGATGTCACCCTACAGGACACATTATTCTGAATCCTAGCCAAGATACCACAGAGATGGTTAGAAATTATGTTTAGACCAGGGCTTCCAAAATTTCCTGACGACAGCCGGACATTTTTCAAAGAAATATTTTGACGGTCAATGATCAGCTGGATACTTAAATGTAACTGAGAGGATGCATAAATTGATATATGTGTCTAAATAATTAGTAGTGTTATATGCAATAAAATTATTTATAACTGTTTTGTTTTCTTCATTCTAAAAATAAATAAAATATTATCCTCGGTATTGTGTCATTTTTCTGTGTATCGTAATACAGTAACCATCATTGCATCAATCAGCTTCAGTACCCGACTGTTCTCATGTTTTTGTTTCTGTTTATATAATCTATCTTCTCTCTGTGAGTACTTTTAAACACTTTGTAAATTAAGGGTATCTTATTTGAAACTGTTGATGTTGGCTTTAATTGCAGTACAACTTGATCATCAATACACGTGATACTTTTATTTTTGTGTATTGATTACCTGACCACGTGACTTTTACAATTGATGCGGTATTTATAGATAACATTGAGGAGGCCCAATGAAGGATATTGTTTTAAACCGTGTAAAATCTACTGAACAGTAATAACATTTTTCTTTGTACAATTTCCCAACCTGATTTAGAAAATAAGAAGAATAAATAAAAACATACTCAGTTGATAAATAATTTAAACTAATTAGACCTTTTACTGCTCTTGAATAGTTGATGCATTTTTTTGCTTCAAAAATACTTTTGATGTCGAGAGTATTGATAAAGATTTTCCAGAGCATGTGTCTTGTACAGTATTCTCCACCACATATTTTTATAACTATATGCTTTTTTCTACATGCATTCTAATGCTGTCCATTTTATTTAAGGACAGGCCTTTACCTCTGGGATAAACTATAATTGTTTTTATAATAATTAAGAGAATGTGTGGCATACATTGGTTGATCAATTGTGATACCTGATCACTTGTCTAACTCAACAACCTATTTTATAAGAGTAACACATATGGGTGTCATATGTGAAGCAGAAACTTCTAACCCTTCTGGAGTACCTGAGATCACCCCCGTTTTTTGTGGGATTCCTGTTGCTCAGTCTTTAACTTTATATGTTTTTATTTGTATAGTGTTGTTTGTCTATTGGTAGTTTTTTTTATTTTTGCCTTGGCATTGTCAGGAGTTTTGAGTAAAACAAAAATGCAGGATAAACTAATAAAAAAAATGGCAGGACAAAATAGAGTGAAAAATAAAAAGGCAGGACAGAGATTACAACTAAATAAAATGCAGCACAAAATTTTTCATCCTAGCTCCCCCCCCCCCCCCCCCCAACCCCCCCCCCCCCCCCAACCCCACCATAAATAAAAATCAAATGGTAGCTCCCTAACCCACAAAAAGATAAGTGAACAACAATGTACAAATAACAAAATCAGAAAATTTATTGCTTTGGAAGACAAATTACTTATCCAATTATATACAAAGATAATATAGATATAAATATATTAACAAGAAATATATTTCTATAAAACATAATTCAAAAACTTAACTCATTATCACATGACTAAGTTCTATTTAATGGTGGGAAAACAAGATTTAAATATCATTTTGACCAACAAGATTTAAATATCAGTTGGACCAATTGTAACTAGAGGCTCTAAAGAGCCTGTGTCGCTCACCTTGGTCTATGTGAATATTAAATAAAGGACGCAGATGGATTCATGACAAAATTGTGTTTTGGTGATGGTGATGTGTTTGTACATCTTAATTTACTGAACATTTTTCCTGCTTACAATTATCTCTATCTATAATTAACTTGGCCCAGTAGTTTCAGAGGAGAAGATTTTTGTAAAAAATTACTAAGATTTATGAAAAAATGGTTAAAAATTGACTATAAAGGGCAATAACTCCTAAAGGGGTCAACTGACAATTTCGGTCATGTTGACTTATTTGTAAATCTTACTTTGCCGACATTTATTGTTTTTTACAGTTTATCTCTATCTATAATAATATTCAAGATAATAACCAAAAACAGCAAAATTACCTTAAAATTACCAATTCAGGGGCAGCAACCCAACAACGGGTTGTCCGATTCATCTGAAAATTTCAGGGCAGATAGATCTTGACCTGATAAACAATTTTACTTCATGTCAGATTTGCTTTAAATGCTTTGGTTTTTGAGTTAAAAGCCAAAAACTGAATTTTACCCCTATGTTCTATTTTTAGCCGTGGCGGCCATCTTGGTTGGTTGACCAGGTCACGCCACACATTTTTAAAACTAGATAACCAAATGATGATTGTGGCCAAGTTTGGTTTAATTTGGCCACGTAGTTTCAGAGGAGAAGATTTTTGTAAAAAATTACTAAGATTTACGAAAAACTGTTAAAAATTGACTATAAAGGGCAATAACTCCTAAAGGGGTCAACTGAACATTTCAGTCATGTTGACTTATTTGTTAATCTTACTTTGCTGAACATTATTGCTGTTTACAGTTTATCTCTATCTATAATAATATTCAAGATAATAACCAAAAACAGCAAAATTTCCTTAAAATTACCAATTCAGGGGCAGCAACCCAACAACAGGTTGTTCGATTCATCTGAAAATTTCAGGGCAGATAGATCTTGACCTGATAAACAATTTTACCTCATGTCAGATTTGCTCTAAATGCTTTGGTTTTTGAGTTATAAGCCAAAAACTGCATTTTACCCCTATGTATTATTTTTAGCTGTGGCCGCCATCTTGGTCGGTTGGCCGGGTCACGCCACACATTTTTTAAACTAGATACCCCAATGATGATTGTGGCCAAGTTTGGTTTAGTTTGGCCCAGTTGTTTCAGAGGAGAAGATTTTTGTAAAAGATAACTAAGATTTACGAAAAATGGTTAAAAATTGACTATAAAGGGCAATTACTCCTAAAGGGGTCAACTGACCATTTCGGTTATATTGACTTATTTGTAAATCTTACTTTGCTGAACATTATTGCTGTTTACAGTTTATCTCTATCTATAATAATATTCAAGATAATAACCAAAAACAGCAAAATTTCCTTAAAATTACCAATTCAGGGGCAGCAACCCAATAACGGGTGGTCCGATTCATCTGAAAATTTCAGGGCAGATAGATCTTGACCTGATGAACAATTTTACCCCATGTCAGATTTGCTCTTAATGCTTTGGTTTTTGAGTTATAAGCTAAAAACTGCATTTTACCCCTATGTTCTATTTTTAGCCGTGGCGGCCATCTTGGTTGGTTGACCAGGTCACGCCACACATTTTTAAAACTAGATACCCCAATGATGATTGTGGCCAAGTTTGGTTAAATTTGGCCCAGTAGTTTCAGAGGAGAAGATTTTTGTAAAAGTTTACGGACGACGGACGACGGACGACGGACGACGGACGACGGACGACGGACGCAAAGTGATGAGAAAAGCTCACTTGACCTTTCAGGTCAGGTGAGCTAAAAAGGGAAAAAATGCTTGACTTTGGTATGGTTCTTTCAAGAACATCTTCAACTTAAACAAGGTATAAGATAGATTTCGTTATGATGTGATTTAAGTCTGAGTTATTTCTCTTGGCCGCCATTTTGGAGTGTAAATATTTGATTTTTTATTTGACTAATCTAATTGAAACATGCAGTACAAACAAGTTTGATAAGAGATCCTTACCAGATCGTAGTAAAGAAATTATAAAATTGCTCAGAATACAACTTTTACTTAACATGCTAAAGTCTAGCTGTCAGTATGACAAGTTGAATATGGCTGATTATGAAGGAATTTGTAACATGGCCACATAGGGGAAATAACTCTTGTTCAGATTGTGTCAATAGAATCTTAGAATTTCTAACAATTAAAGAAGGGGAGACAACTAAATACACTGTAAAATGCATTAGAGGATATTTAAGATATATTCACACTGTGGGAAAATCATACAATGTATCAGTTACACAATTTTGCTTAATTCAAATGCTTAGAAGGCACAATAAAGGGAATATCATATATAATTTCTTGGCTTGCTTGCTTTATAGCTACAGTATCTACCATATAAGTTCATTTGACATCAACAGTTGATATAAATAATACAGGTATTTTTTCAAATTCTTCTAAATATTTCTATAAAAATTAAGACATAAAAACCTGATAATAAAAGAATATCAAGAATTATAAACAATTCTTCAAACTATTTATTTAAACAAAACTAAATATTCAAAATATTCAAAAAATGGAATGTTTTTAGTCTATAAACTCTGAACATTGTAACATAGAATAACACAATTGGCCTCTAGTCTATCAAAAAAGTACAGTTCAATTTTTTGTCAGATTTGAGGTTAATTTTACACATAGATACCTACCATATTTCAGAAATGTTTTGTTTGTTTTTTGGTGTTTAGCACCACTTCTAGCACCTTCCGTTTATCATGGTGGCAAGTTTTTATTGGTCAGGAGTTTAAAGACCTCAGATCAGGAGTTTTTATATTGACTTTTTTTTGGTTGTAACTTTAACCTTTTGAAGTAAAAAATGTCTTTTTTGTGTTTTAAATTTCACAAGAGTTTGAAGCATTTATACATCACCTGTCAATCAAAAACATGTTTTAATATTTCCGCCATAAATGATATTCCTGTCTTGTACAAGGCAACATGTCCAGTCAAATGGCAAAGCTGGGATTCCAATATATTACTATGCAGTGAAATATTGAATGCAGACACAAGAAATATAAAAGCTGAATTGGAAGGGACAGGTGTCCTGAGATGAAGTCTAAATATTTTACATCTGATAATATCAATTATTAAATTCATAATTCATAACAAAGCCTAATTTGGCTGAGTTTTACAAGTTCTCATTAAGGGCTGTTCCATTAAAAACATACATGGGACCCAGGGAAGGCACTTCCAAATCTCAACTATGGGTGTGTGTTATCTATGTTTTTGCATAGTGGAAATGTAAGTGAAATTTTAATTTGCCTCTATAGGTGGTTACCCCATTTTAAAAGTGCCCTCCCTGGGTACCATGTATGTTTTAATGGAACAGCCCTAACTGTTATGCAGAAATTTTTGTGATATTTTTGTTATCGCAAAAATTGCGACTGGAAAGGCTTTACAAAAAAAATTAACTCACATTTAAATTTTGGCAGAATTACCTAAAATTGCAATAATTAATTTCCTCCATTGTTGAACATTTGCACAACTGCAATTATAAATGCATGCAAAAATTTCTGACTTTACAGTATTATATTCATAATTCATATCTAAGCAGAATCTTGGCTAAATTTTTCAGTTCTCATTTATCCATAACTAATTCTACAATTTTATTTCATATTTAATAACAGATCTTTATTCAATAAAAATCCTTCTCTGACCTACTATGGCACAAAAACTAACTTTCTACATTCATTTTCCAAATTGCTGTTTCAATAATCTAAAAGAATCTAATGGATTATGGGTAATCTCATTGTTCATACACCAATATGAAAATAACATCACATCATTGGTTGATTTTCCATAGTTTAGGACATTTTTATCCAATCAAACATTTTGATGTACCTTTTTGAAAATATTACCCACAATGCATTAGATTCTGAATCAGCCAATTACACTTTAAAACACAATTCTGACTAAAGTATCACTAGCTACTAGCTTATAAAAATAAAGCAATTAAAATAGTCAATGCCATTTTTATACTTTGAGTAAATATTTTGGTGTACTGGTAGTTAGGTCATATCTTGACCCTCACACAATAAACACAAATAAATAGTAATTTCAACACATTGCTTTGTATAAATATTGATTTTGATCAGATATTATATACATAATAAAATAATCAATTATAACATATGTTATGATCTAATAAAATAATCAATCATAACATATGTTATGATTAGTCATGTGACTAGAAGCTCCATAGAGTCTGTGACCCGCTCACCTGACCCAACAAGAACAAATGATTCACAACAAAAAATACTGAAATCAGAGAAAAATGATTTAAAAATATTTTCAAATAAGGTCATAAGTCAAACAAAGTCCCAATGTTGTAGGTACAAACATGTATATTGGTTATATTTGAGAAGGTAAAACCAAAAAGGACCAAAAGTAAAAAGCCAAACCTGGAAAAGTAATCTGAGCTATGCAAAAGAGAGATACATAACAGAATTCAAATGATTTTGAAATTTAAAGACATCAAATTCAAATAAAACTAAATCCTTATTTTCATGCCCAGGTCCAAAGGACTGGCTACTGGGCTGTTAATATCCTCAAGGACTAACAGTCTACCAGCAGGGGTATGACCCAGTGGTAGAAGTAACCATATTCTTTTACTGCATAACATTGCAATGGAGGGATCTTCTGCAATCTGTGGTAACTGCTAGCACCTACAGGATTTTCACCCTTCAAATCAATCTTACGCCACCCCCTTTTTCCCCTTTTAATATAATAACAGTAGTTATTTAGTTGTCGGGAGTGTCAGATAATTTTTAAACTAGATATCCTGCGGATAATTGTGGCTCACTTAAGCTAATAAATACAGAGAATACACAAAACAGACGCCAAGTAATAGCAGTAGCTCACATCTGTCCTTCAGACCTGGTGAGCTAAAAGAAGGTATATTGAGACATTCCTGCAACCTAATTGACAGCAACATTATATAATAATTTGCTGTCAGTTTTAAATAGTTATAAAGGCTTGAAGCACATGCTTGAATAATGTCTGAAAATATATTCTAAGCATGAAAAAAGATGTGCCACTCACTACTTTTGATTTCTATGTTTAGCACTTAAGAATGTCTTTCATCTACTTTTTTCCCTCTTTCAACAAAAACAAAATATTATGCAGTCTATCTTTGGTCCATTTGCTTTCCATGGTAATCTTTAAGTATCAAAAGAATCTCTAATTTATGAAACTACTATAACATTCTCTGTGCTCTTGTACTTTTTATGGATATAATTATCAACATTTGTCTTAATGTAAAGCCAATCAGAATAGATATTAACTGATTTGTTACCATCAGTCTATGATTTGATAGTCACAAATAACTGATTTTTGGAATCTACTGATAGGTTATAAGTAAAATTTTTTGCAACTATCAAATTAACAACTGATGACTGCAAATATAAGCTTTAATATGTTATCTCCATATCTTAAATTTATTTAATTTTTGAAAAGGTTTGAACACAGAAAGTAATATGTTTAAAAAAGAAGAAAGAACTTTGATGGTTCAATAAGTAAAATGGTTAAAATGAAGCGGAGTATAAAAAAACTTAATAAAATTACAATATCATGAAATTATACATTAATGCTGAATTTCAAAATTGTTCGTGTACTATTTATAATTGTATTGCTCAAATTTCTATATTTATAATTTGGAACTTTGGAAAAAATCATAAAGAATAAAATATAAAAGACATACAAATAAAACTGTTGTGAAAAATTTGAGACATTGTAATTGATTTTTTAACAAAATCATAATCAAATGCATAATCACTCCAATAAATCCTCATTCATTAATCATTCTTTTCATCCTCCTCGGTTTCAAGAAGCATATACTGGTCCCTTTCTCCTAATGGCTTTACAATCAGCAATCAGTCTTGCCCTAGGTTCCAGTCACTGGTACCAAAATGACCTACTTTGGGTTTGTGAGGCCAGGCTCATACATCACTCTCATAGAAATGTTTTTTCCTGGTGGTACCAGATTTGATATTGGTAGACATTAGTTCCATCTTTAATGCATTCAGTTCTCTCTCTTTCTTCTGCAAAACATCAAACAGGAATTTTAATATCTAAGTTTCAAGAAGGTGGCCTGTTAAATTAAAACATAGTTGAAAACTTTTAATACAGAAATTATTGAGAGAATTTTATTAATGCAAATGGGCCTTTGTTAGTCTTGTATCATTTTTAATTTTAGTTTCTTGTGTATAATTTGGAGTTTAGTATGACGTCCATTATCACTGAACTAGTATACATATTTGTTTAGGGGCCAGCTGAAGGATGCCTCCGGGTGCGGGAGTTTCTCGCTGCATTGAAGACCCATTGGTGGCCTTCGGCTGTTGTCTGCTCTATGGTCGGGTTGTTGTCTCTTTGACACAATCCCCATTTCCATTCTCAATTTTATTAGTATTGCAGCAATAAGAACTTGTATTCTATTATCTGATACATACCATATCTGTATGCAACTTTTACTGAATTCCCAATAAAATGTCAAATGTTGGTATTATAGGAAGTTAAATATACAGTCCTTTGACTTTATACATATACTAATAGATGTTAAATATATATGGTCGGGTTGTGGTCTCTTTGACACATTCCCCATTTCCATTCTCAATTTTATCATAGATGTTAAGCAACCAAGTATCCATCATTAATATTTACTTTCATTTACAAATAATCTCTTCAAAGTAAATGCATTATCATACATAAAAAATTCAATTTAACATTATTACAAGTTTAACCTCTCTGAGAAGGTATGGGGTACTTTATAGTATCATAAATTATGTCAACATGAAGCAGTAATTGTTAATAGGGTCTTTAATATCTTTACTGTAATTTTATTCCTTTTCTTCCCTATTTAACATCTTTTCCTGTTTGGGATATTTCATAATGCTATATCTCACTATAGCCAATAGAACCTTAGCCACTTCATAAAGAAACCAATCAGAATAGATGTTTGTTGAGTAATAATTTCAAGATGACATGAATATCTACTAAAACTAAAAGCTTCACATCATGGTGCAAAGCAATAAAAGTTAGGAAATTTACTTAAAGTGAGAAAGATTTTTTTCTACCTTTTCATTGCAATAAAATTGAGAATGGAAATGGGGAATGTGTCAAAGAGACAACAACCCGACCATAGAGCAGACAACAGCCGAAAGGCCACCAATGGGTCTTCAATGCAGCGAGAAACTCCCGCACCCGGAGGCGTCCTTCAGCTGGCCCCTAAACAAATATGTATACTAGTTCAGTGATAATGGACGTCATACTAAACTCCAAATTATACACAAGAAACTAAAATTAAAAATGATACAAGACTAACAAAGGCCGGAGACTCCTGACTTGGGACAGGCGCAAAAATGCGGCGGGGTTAAACATGTTTTTTGAGATCTCAACCCTCCCCCTATACCTCTAGCCAATGTAGAAAAAACAAACGCACAACAGTACGCACAGTAAAACTCAGTTTGAGAGAAGTCCGAGTCCAATGTCAGAATAGGAAACAAAAGAAAATAAACAAAATGACAATAATACATAAATAACAACAGACTACTAGCAGTTACTGACATGCCAGCTCTAGACCTCATACATGTATTGCAAAATTGAAATAAGAAAATTTATTACCTCCCCTTTATCATAAAGGACCAGTATTATATTACTAAATGCACAACCTCAGGTAGTGTTCTATTAAGGTGATTCCAATTTACCTCCTAAAAATAAGTTTGCAGCGGAGGGGAGTGTAGTAGGGGGAATAATAAAATTGCACAATAGTTATCCTCACCTGTAATTCTTTTTGTAACCACTGTGTGTTGTCATGGAGTTCTTGTCGTACTTCAGTTAAAATTGTTTCTTTCAGCTAAAAAAAAACCAAATCATTATATGTAAAAGTTATTAATAATCAATGGCTATAAAACAAGGTTTAACCAACCATTTTCTTCTGAAAATCCCTGTATTAAGTCAGCAATATGACAGTTGATAAAGTCTTTTTTTTATACTTTATTAGAAAGACTTTAACTTTAATGCTTGGTATTAAACCAAGTTATTTTGTTCAATCATCCTATGTTTTATGCTCATCTATTGGTAGTTTAAAATAATTATCGGCTTGCTGTCTTAAATGTACTTGAGTTGAACAGTGTATTTCACAGACATGTAAAATATGAAATGCAAATACAATGCTTGGCAAAAGAATTTCTTACATACTGTAGATGTGGATATCTATGTAGGTTGCAATTTTCATGATTTCAAAGCATAAACTTTTTTGCAGGGGTTAAAATTGTGCACCAACAATAAACAGGAAGTGTGCAAAAAGCACATTGCAAGGTTAACAGTAGTCGTTCTAAGTTTGTGTCTCTATAATTTCAATATGGAATAATCGTAATGATCAGCACAAAATATAAAATCATATTTCAATTATTCTTTTGAAATATTTGAGTTATCTCCCTTTGGCTGAAAAGACAATATAATTTTCGACCACAAGTGTAAGTGATACCAATGAATTAATGCAAGTCAATTTTAGGCTAATATGAAAATTTATCTCAGATAAACTACTGTTAAGATGTATAATCAAGGTTCCATGGCTACTTACCTCAGATAAACTACTGCTAAAGCTATGTTCAGAATCTAGGTCGGAGATTGAGCCTCTTTGTTTGTTCTCAGATAAACGCTGTGATCCACTAGACCGCCAGGTGGCACTGTGGGTTGTTTCCATGGTTTCCTCATCTTTTTCTGTCACCATCTGTTGTTGATAAGATTGTTCTCTCAAAAGTTCAGTCATCTGTCAATAGTAAAATAAAGTTTTGCATTTGAAGTTTTTACTTGCAAGGGAAAGTTTTTAACCGATTTAAAATAATGATTTCTATTCCTCTGCACATATTTCATGGCAGTCTCTTTTCTTGAAGGCATGACCCAGATAAATTATGGGGCTTCAGACCACAATTTATTTCCATTGATGTATAGTTCCAAAGTATTTCTTCCTGATTTTTCTTGCTACTGTCATGAAAAGTTTATTATTTATTGCATATCTATTGAAAAAAATATATGTGGAAAAATTTATTGTTGAAAGTGAAAGTAGTGATTTGGCCAAAGTGAAAGTAGGGTGGAAATTTGCCTTTGACATTTAATATCAATCTGCAAATTCCTCAGTCCACATTACAAATAATTCAGCTGGATATAAAGAAAATTTGAACATCTATCCATAACAATCTACAATCCAATATGGCCTCTTTACCTTCCTGATAACATCCAGGGCTAACATAGGGTTATAGTTATCATTGCCCATGTTGATACCATCCAATCTATTGGCTAATGTTTCTTCTGTCAATAGCATTTCTTTACGTAATTCTCCAAATAAAAATTGTAATTCCTGGACATCTTCCCTGTAATATAAAATAAAACAGATGTTAAAAACTTTTTTGGTAATAAGGACATGATGTATTCAGGCATCCTAAATTACACTGCAATATTTTTTTTTTTAATGAAATAAATAATTATATTGTATGGTAATTTTTCGTCCCTGAGCAAAGAAAATAATAAAACAAACATCGTAAGTTTAAGTTTGTTTGTTGAATTGTTTTGATATAATGTTCTTTATATTTGTATAATTCTATGTAAGTCAATCAGTAATTTTAGAAGAAGATATCGTAGTTTATTACATTGGTTGCAATGGAAAAGCGTCATTTCCATGTTAATTTCACATCAAAGCAAATTTAAAATTCATCAAAAAGATATAGCTCCTTGCATTTTTTTCTTTATATCCATTAAAAGTCAATGTAATAAAAAGAATAACGTATCCAAGATAAAAAATAAATTCAACTTGTTACTGAGTATCACTGATAACTAACTCATGTGCTTCGTTTATCATTTTGTTCAGTGTTGGAAGAGTTCCATACTTTCTACATGTAAAAGATCACTCACAGTAACTGAGAGCTCTGCATGTGACCTATGAGATACGGTTCTGCAGCTACATGTGACCTATTTAATGCAAAATTTCTGCCCCTACTTAATAAATGTTTTTTTTCCTATGACAGTCCAAAATTTTCCATGCTTCGACATAGTCGACTCACTTTGCAGAACCCAATTAATTTATTTATTCTTTAATTCTCATTTTGAAAAAGGCATGAAATATTTGCCACTGGACATTAAGCAAATAACAACCAGCCTACCTATCACTGTATGAGAGATCATCTTTTACAAGTTGTGTCTTGACTAGGAACTGAGATTCCATCATATTTAATTCTGCTTTATATCTTTGTAGGGTATGCTGAGCAAGTTTGGTTTCTTCTTCTAATTGCTAAAAAATAAACAAATGTAAACAGAAATTTTGGGTGCACTTGATTTGGTAGGCAAAATAGTTAATGCTTCTTTTAAATATTGCTTCTTTTAAATATCTAGACACTTTCAGTACTCCTCCAAAGACTTGATACCTTAAGGAAAACACAAATATTTTATGAATTACTGTCAACATTAATCGTGAAATACCAATTTCCATGGGTAAAGGTAAATCACAAATCTAATTACCAGGGTATTCAAAAGGAGTACAAATTTTCTATAGTTGTGTATGCAGACTTTGGCAACTATCCATCTAAGTCACAATGTGTAAAAAGTAAACAATTATAGGTCAAAGTATGTCCTTCAACATATGTGTGTGTTAGGTTAAAAATGCCTGTATATCACTTCAAATTTATGCTTTGCATGGGCAGCATGTGGATCAGAACCTGTCTTCAATTGACAAAGGGAAACAACTTGTATTGAAGGGTTTATTTTGCCGTTTCAGAATCTAATGCATTCTGGGTAATATTTTCCAAATGTAGACCAAAACGCCCACAACCTCAAAAACAATTGAATTTTAACCAATGATGTGACATTATTTTTATTTTGGTGTACGAACAATGAAATTACCCATGGTCCTTTAGCTTCTGAAACAGCAAATTACAGAATCAAATTGGCAATTGGCCAATACACTATTTCTAGTCTTGATTACCCAGACATTCAATTCTACTTATGCAGAGCACGGAATCGATCAGTTAAACTACTTTTAAACAAACATACATGGTCTTTTATGCAGATATGTTTTCTTATTTTATGATTTTTTTCACTTTCATGGCTATAATAGTTTGAAACAAAAACATCTGAAATATTGTGTTGCAAGTTCTTTTAAGTCAAGTAAATCCAAATAAATCTGATAAGGGTGACCTACATTTCCAAGAGTGCTTACAAATTCTCCTGCATGAATCCCCCCCCCCCCCCCAACAAGAGAGTAAATTGATTTTGGGGTCATTCTTTCCTTATAAATAAAGTTACAAGAAATAAACTTGAAAGAAAAACAACCATAAAATGTCTAAGTTCCTCTATAAAAAGCTATACAGTAGTGAATATATTAAATGCAGATTCAAAAACATTCCTAATAGGAAATAGAGTTTATGAAAGCAATGTTATAACTTTCATCCTTTTTTCCTAAACGTTACATGGTTATTAAAGAAAGAGTTCTTCCAATTCAAATAGAATAATGCTGACCATGTTCTCAGATTTTATATTTGAGCTGGTTCAAATATCTTTGAGATACAATAAAACAAGGCCTATTCCATTAAAATAAATGTGGAAGGGTAGGACAGAGTTTTAAATATCCAAAATAGGTCTGGTGTCATTTATAGTTGTATGTCCTTTGATGTATGTCAAATTACTGAGGCCACCCTTAAAAAATTCTTTGTTTGATGTTGCCTACTCGTGCCTGGTAAGGTGGGGTAGGTAGGTAGGGATTTTATTTTTTTATTGTCCAACAACATAAGTTACATGTTTTAGACAAGAAAACAACATTAGAGCAGGAAAAAATCTTTTTAAAAAAAAATTTGAACCGATTTGTGTCATAAATTATTTTGAGTAGGCTGCTTTATAGGTGGTTACTAAGGTAGGTAACATCAAACAACTTAGTTCTATTTTTAGCCTGAATACCCATCCATTTTATTTGAATAGCCCTAACAACCACATGATCTATCTAGAAATTCTGAGGGTGCAGTGAACATTTTTTCCACCCATATAAATTTTCTTACCTGTTGTTTTTTAAGTTGTGTCCATTCCTTTACATTAAACTTTGGTACAAATTGTATGTTACCTTTCCGGCCCTTTGAGTCAGTCTGAAATACAGTTGAACATATATCATAAATTTAATTAGGCTACAACAAACAATTGGCATTCCAACTGGGACCTAATTGAGCTCCTCTTCTTGCTGACTAGTTCCTTTATGCAGGAGCTTCTCAGGAAGAATGAAAGAGCTTCACATTCCACTACTTAGATGATATGTTCAAATTGTCATAACCACAATCCTGTCATCTTTTACTCGATTGTGACATCACTGAATGAGACTTATCACCTGATTTGTACTTGCATGAGCAACACGATTGGTGCCACATGTGGAGCAGGATCTGCTTACCCTTCAAGAGCATACGAGTTTACCTCATGTTTTTGGAGATCAATTTTTAGTTTTCCATGGAGTATTTTGTGAACTTATTTGTATTTTTGTCATTTCTCGTTTTGTGCCATAGCATTGTCAGTTTTTCTTCCAACTTATGAGTTTTGAATGTCTCCTTGGTATCTTCCGCCTCTTTTTTACAGTTTATATTATAAATAATATTAAATATTTCATGTATTTTTTTTTATAAAATAAAAATGCAATGTTTGCTGATCAATTTACTGAAATTTCTTTTATAAATAGACCTTAAAAGTAAGAGCATTTCCTAATGAGTTAAAAGTATTGCATCTTTAACCAGCTTTTACATATTATTCGTTACACTTATAATAACTATAAATATTGTATTGTATAAGTGCTCATCAAATATGCAACATATTTGTACATTTATTAAAAAGGCTTGACATTCACTTAGAAATGCATTTACTTACTTAAATATCTACATGATATAGTTCAAAGTCCAAGTGTTATACTTGCTAAATCAGCATTGTGATGAGCATTTAGAAGACATTGTTTGAGTTGAATTAAAAGTAGTAAATTATAAATACACATGAAGTGCAATGTTGGTAGTTGTTACTATTGAAAAGAGCAGCTTTTCAGAAAGGTTTTTTATTCATTAGCCACTAAATAAATTTGTTTTCATCTATTAAAGTTGTTTGATTAGAAAATTATAAAGAAAGACAAGAAAGCATGTGTTGTTCTGCTATGCATTCACCAGCATAATTCAAAGTATTAAAAAAAACCATTGAATTAGCTGTATGTGGCTGACAATATATATCCAAAAGCACTCGCACTTAATAAGTCATCACTATAAAGCTGCTGACCAAATAAGAAGTAATTCTGTTGAGTAAAACTGGAGAAATGTACATGCTTGATGACAATTTTTAAGTTCATTCAATACATTGAAAAATTTAAAGTATTCACAAAAAGGAGTAGGTGTTTGACAGATTCAAAGGGACTCATCACTGCCAGGCTGTAAATGTGTCAAGCTACTGACCAAATATGAATTTATTCTGTTCAGCAGTACCTAAGAAAAGTGCGAAGAAAATGTCTAATGGGCAGACGGATGGACTAATAGTGATAGCAATCAGCATTACTCCTATAGTAGGTATATAATATTAAAGGCAGATAATTCAATATGTAGGTATTTTCTGGATTGTCAGCCAAAAATGAGGTAGATAACCTAATAAGCTTGAAAGGTACATAGACAAGCTTTATCAGTTTGTTACACTACAAAAGAGTCATAAAAAGGGAGATAATCAACTTACCTTGAAAGACACTGGTTGATTGACAAGCTTCATAAGTTTGTAATATTCTAAACTACCACTGCATGTACTTGAAACACTATCTGTCTTAGAAACAAGTGAAACACTAGATAAATTAAGGTTACGATCACTTTCAAAATGTTCCGTGTCAGAACCTGTCCGTCTTGGCAATGGGTTAAAAGCACTAAAAGCTGAAAGACTTGTAGGAGATGCACTGCGCGGAGGAAGCTGATTCGGAAAAAATGTCTGCTTAGTTTCCGCCAAATAAATGGAATCTCGTATACTTCTTGAATGCCCATGTGGTGTGGATAATAATTGCATAGGAAAGTCGGTTGGCATACTACCAGCAGACTCTGCAAACATAATTGAATCTCTTATACTTCTAGAATGACCTCCATGAGGTGTGGATGACCTTGGAGGAAAGTCTGTTGGCACATGGCTATCTGATGCTGCCCTTTCTAATGGATAATTTGATTGTCCACGGTGACGCCGCATAACTACAACCTCACTATTTGTTTCTGAATCTGTAGTATCCAAACTTTGACTACGTGCTGGATGACCTATTTCTTTATACAAATGGGAGATAACTCTAGGCTTACCAATTTTTTTATTTGGATTTGAGTTTACCCAGTTTTTAGGCAGTTCAATTGTCAATATGACAGATTTATTATTTTCCGAGTAAGTCCCAGAATCGTCTCCGTCTCGTTCATGTAAATGATAGGAAACTGTTGGTGCATGCAAATATTCACTAAAATCATCAGTTCCGATGCCAATATCAACTTTGGATGAATTAGAAAAACTCTCACATCCTGATATATCCAATGAAATGCTTTGTGTTCCATCTGGAGATGTAACACTCATTTTGGGTGCACTTGATTTGGCAGGCAAAATAGTAATGCTACTTTTAAATGTCTGGTCACTTTCAGTACTACTCCCAAGACTTGATACCTGAAGGAAAACACAAATATTTCAGCGTATTAAATTCTTGGAACTGTTGTTAGTATACATATCTACTATCACCTTTAAAAGATAATAAATATCAAAGATTACAAATATCGATATTTTATAAGGTTAAAGACATTTTCTGTCAGAAAAGAGCTTTAAATATATCAAATTCAACAAGATAACAGTAACAGAGATATTTATAACAATTAGAAGCCTTTTCATCATATCAATATAAAAAAGAACAAAAAACTGCTAAAATGAAAGATTTAAGGTAGATAGGGTGTCTTCCTCCATCTTGGATTTTGTAATACCTGAAAACAATCGGTCTATATCTTTAATAGAATGTTCAAATTTTGAGAGTAGTAGGTAATTCATGTGTAAGAATTTTCATTTCAATATAGAAAATGACATGTTTTAATCATATTTATGGTTGTATTTTACAAAAAAACAGAAAACTTTTGTTTGATTCAATTTTTTCCAACTTTGCCATATAAGGGGAGGCAACTCAAATGTAAGGGCAGATAATTCAGATAAAGGTACTTTTACAATAGAATGTGTTAGGAATTTACCTATTTTATTATGTAGCAAGAAAACGGGTCCGGTGACCCCATTTTCTCTTTTTCTTATCTGAAAGCATACTATTAAAGCTATCTTCTCATATTTTATCTCAAAATTCTATGGTGTAGTTTTCGTTTTATGGCAGAAAATTGGGTTTTCCATGCATAATCTATACAAAATCTGTTAATTTTGAACAACCTGTAGCTTGAAAATAAGCCCCGTGACCCATTCTTTTTATCATTTTTTTTTAAAAAGCATGATATAAACTACATTTTGGCAAATTATTAAAAAATTCTATGGATTATAATTTAGACACCCCATCTACCTTAAGGTGTTTGAAAAAGACTTTATATCTTATGTTTAAGCTAAGACAATAGATGTAAATTCAGGTAGAATATTATGTATAAATATTTCTGGCAAATGCTTGAATTCATTCACTGGTTTATCCATACAAAAATAAGATTGATTGGTTGTTTGTTGGTGTTTAATGCCACTTTCAGTACTATTGGTTATATTGACAACAGTCAGTTTTCACTGATGGAGGATTAGATGGAGTTACCAGAGTGAACCACATATCTTCGGCAGGAAAACTGACAATCCTAGTCAATTAAGATAAGGGTTGAATGCAATCGTCATAAACATTATAGAAAATATTTCTGTTGTGTTTGTTTTAATATACCTTTTGTATGACAATAGGTTCTGGCATTACATGCTCTGCTTCAGCGAACCCACTGCTATCAGACTGGACACTTTCGATTTTACCAATCACTCCTAAACCTGGAAATTAGATATGCAGAGTATGAAGCTAGAATTAAAGAAAAGGTGCTCTTTAAACTGTGAACCCTTTTTTCAATATTGGAAAAACAGATCATCTGACATTTCCAGAGGTTACATAAACATTAGAATAAAAATATCAATAAATCTTACCAAAATAGTTAATAATTTCTTCCCAACATTCACCTAGTTTGTCTGTGAAATCAAACGAGTTTGATATATTAAGAAAATCATTATCCATCACATTTTACATGGCCAAGGTTATTGTCAGTACAAACTTTTGTTGGGTGATCACAGTTTGACATTTAGTGGACAGTGGAACAGTATTGGATTTTTTAAGGTCACAGGTGAGTGGGTTTTACAATGGTTGACTGGTTATGTTAATTGATATGACTGATTGATTTCCTATTAAATAGATTAACTTGCTAATTTCCCAAATTACTTTTTTTACCAGGAAAATCTTAATAAATAGTTACTCTAATTGGGTGACAAAAAATTGTCAACTTTCCAGTTGTGAATTTAAGGGTCAATGCATTTGTCATGGTTCACAGCACATCAAGTACAAGATCAATAACTCTGATACAATGCATAAATTAACAATCAGTCAATGATCTCAGGTGTCAATTTCTATAAGTAAAACACCTGCTGTCATATTATAGGTCATTTGTTTATATTCAATAATGCACTGAAGTTTTTTATAATTTTTATCTCCTTTATATTCCATAAGTGTCAACTTTTCAAACCTCAAAAGAGAAAGAACTCCATGGGGAAATTTCTAAAACTAGATTTGGACATTTAGCAAGCAACTATCAATCAAGGATTTATATAGTAAGATCCTTGAATCAATCAATCAATAACGAGAGATTTGATATCTAAAACTATTTCATATCGAATCATAATATTTTATCTTTTAGCATTGAAATAATCTTAGTTAACTAATTTTTTTATCAATTGAATAAAAACGAAAACAGAAAAAAATCTAGTCATTAATAAACTAGCTAAAATATATCAGGTAGCTTTAGTAGCTGGTAATCTTTTTCATCATGTTTTTTTTTGCTTACATAGTTGTTTATAATATATAAAAATTTAAGAAAAATACAAAAAAATTATGGGATATTATCAGACACAATGAGAATGCAGGAATGCATGCAATATGTCATGTTTAGCATACCCTACTTGTAATTCAAAGTATCAGAAAACAGGAAGTAGGTTTTGACAGATCTAATAACTGTTCAACCATTAAAAATCATCATATGAGGTACTCCTATATTGGAGGAAGTTTACAGTTTCAGATAATATTGGTAAAAACAAGTGAATCTGTGAGCTACTACTCACTAATGATATCCCCACCCCGCTAAAAGTATAAGGTAAACAGGAAGTTGTTGAGTGATGAATCTGAAAAAGCATCACACGGTATAGCTGACTTATAAACACTGAAACCAAATTTTAGAAATCCTTATGATGTAGTTCCTGAGAGAGCTGTGACGACAAATATTCATGGGACGGATGGACTGACTGACGGATGGACTGACGGATGGACGGATGGATGGATGGATGGACGGACGGACTGACAGACAGAGGTAAAACAGTATACCCCCACTTTTTTGAAGTGGGGGTATAATCATTTGAAGAAGCAATCAACAGGACCTCCATTGACTATTGGAGAATTGGCTATCTTCTCATATATAAATTTCAGTGATAAATCCATTACGTCTATCTCATTTTGGCATAACTAAATTTTTACAATTTGCATTAATAAACAAATGTATCATTTCAAAATTATCATTAATTTGCCTACTTTTATCATATTTAGTAATTTTGTTGTCAAGCTGTTTCTGATCTGATTTGACATTTTAGTTTATACACAAACAGACATAACATATGTGATGTTGAGAGTTGTTTAATGATAATAACTTCTTCATAGCAATCTATAGTTTTTCCTAGGAAAAAGGGAAATAATTCATTATCTTTAACCTTTTTTTCAACAAAGGGAGATAATTCATTATCTTTAACCTTTTTTCTACAAAGAAGGGAAATAATCCATTATCTATTTATTGTTTTTTTTTTTTTTTTTTTAACTGAAAGACATTGTTATCTCTGTAATGCTAATGAACTTGGTGATGAGTTTCATTACTTATTCAAATGTACCTTTTTCAACACTGTAAAAGAGCTAAATTTTTACCTTAAAATATATGTAATATAACCCAAATGTTATAAAATCTAAAGAACTGATGAATACATCAGATTTATTTCGCTTACTGGAATAGCAAAATTTTGCAAAAAGTGTTATTAAAACCTTTTAATACATGTGCTTAATCATGTAACTATAATTTGAACATTCCTGTCACATATCAGTATTCATTATATATACCTACTATTATTGCACCTTTGTTTACCAAGTTGTTCTAATGTATATATGTTCACACTTTGTTTGTTAAAATGTTGTACTAACATACCCAATGTGGGGACTTTAGTGAAATAAAATGTCTTAATGTAGCATATAGTAGGTTTTTTTTTAGTAAAAAGTAACTCTTGCAAGTATTAGGTAAATGTGAATTGTGGTTATTGGGGGGTGATCTTAGACCTGATAACAATTTGATTCATTTTTATATTGAAATATGAATTTAGATTATACAGAGAGAGAGAGATTCTTAATGATTCACTTGCTATCAACAGAAATGTGAAAAGAGAGATTTTTTATTGAAACACCTTGTGTGTTCTGTAAAATAAATAGATTCAAGAATATTTGCATGCTAATATACCGGTAAAATATAAAAGTTTCTTACCAGGTTTTTCAGTCTGTACTCCATCTACAGGGATCTAAACAAATGAAAAAAAAATACATGTACATGTATTAATAAAAATATAAACTGATTTAAATGTTAACACTTACACTAACATTTAGATATCAATTAAGATTTTATAAAAATAATCAAAAGAGAAGTGAAAGATATCAAAGAGATAATCTAAACTAAGTCGAAAACCAATCGATTATGCCATGGCAAAAAAAACGAAAAAACAACCAAAAGATGTAATAATTACATGTAATTTGTACTTCTTTGCCGATTTTCAAATTGTAAAGGTGTTGCTTATTGTAAAACTCAGTAAAGCAATTTCTAGATTTTTTGCTTACGTTTTGAGGTGATCTTCAGATGGTGACCATCTAAAGAGGTTTTAAATTTCATTTTCAATTTACAAACTGAAATATACTTTCCATTAGCAGACACTCTCAGGTGATTTAATAGAATTTTTAATAAATATAAACAATCTTAAAATGCAAAATATTATTTTTGAAGCATTTAATCTTACTAGTTTTAGGTTCCATAAACTTGAAGAGAGTCTTATATCTAAAAGTTAAAACCAAATGTAGCAAAAGAGCATGACTTTGAATCCAAAACTACTGCCTCAAAATCAGAGAGCATACCCTCTCATCATTTACCTCAATTGTTAGAGGGATGAATTACATTACCAGAGGTCATGGGTTCAATCCAGGACAGATAAATGACAAATTGTAAGTTAATATCAAAATATTATACAAATCTCATTGAAGATTACAATCAACTTATACAGTAGTTATACTAGTCCAAACTTGTGAAATTCTGAAAATTTTGCATAAAACAAATCCAATATATGCGAAATATCATGCCGGTCTATTTTCCACACACTCACCATAACATTCAAGAACTCGTCATCTTTTACAATAAAAAATCTGTGACTGTCAGCCATACTGGTAGGTATAAAAGCAAGGGAAAATTTCAAAGCTGAATAAACTTCAGCTATAAGTTATTCAAATTACTTACAATTATAAAATATATTGGTAATAAAAAATCCTAATTTTGTCAAAATTGCAAACGTTTGCATCAAATTCAATTTCATGAAAAAGTGATTTTTCTCTAAAAATCTCTTTCCAAAATATTTTTGAGATGGCCCATTTTGATGTTGAGGAAGGGAGATATGTGACTTGTTTTTAAGTGTTTCCTTTGTACAAGTAATTGTTTCATATAGTTGTAAACATTATACATTTAAACAAAAATCTGTTTACTCATTAAAAATGTTGAATTTCCTACCACTTAGTGTCATTTTACAAGCAAATAAATATGTGCACCAAATGCATATCAGTCAGAGCGGACATTATATGTACATAAAAGTGATATCATTGGCTGAAAAAAAAAACAATTAAAAAATATTTCGTTCTGGATTATTGAAAGAATACTTGAGTTATTGTGAAACAAATGAAAAAGTTCCTTAGTTTTTAAACCTTTAAAAAGTCCCATAACTCGGTAATGACTAAGTTGAAAATTATCAAAGTCAAAAGGTTGCTTGTTTTAAAATTAAATGTTGATCTTTGTTATTTGAAGGTCATGAAATATCAACAGATTTTCGACTATAAAATAATTGCCACAAAAATGATTTAAATGCAGAATTCATTTATATATCAAGAATTCATTATCTCAATATCTTGTTTCTATATTTCCTTGTATGCCCTAACTTTTAAAGATCTCTGTGCATGGTCACTTCTGTTTTAATTGCAGGAAGATTTGTATGCTCAATTGCCCAGAAGAAACACTTCTAGATGTTAGGCCATGTTACCCGAAGAAAGATATTAAAACCCATCACTGTCAAGCTGCTGAACAAAATATAAAGTCATTCTGTTCAGTAGTGAAATATATTTGTTGGACAGAATAACATGTGGAATACTGTCAATTCAGAAATTATTGTGATGTTTTTATTATTGCGAAAAATGCGACAGGGTTATAATCGCAATAATTTAAACTCGCATTTTGAAATTTTTTATATGAATTTAACAGGATTTTTCTCAATATCGCAAAAATTAAAATCGCATTTAAGTCCAAAATGACAAAATCGCAATAATAAATGCACGCAATAATTTCTGAATTTACAGTACATTAAAGACCCCACTCTAGGAGTGGAGCATTCTACTGTAAATTCAGATATTATTGCCAGGTTTTAAGGGCATCCGATACAGTTTCAAGGGAGTTAACTCTTGGCGCGACGTTATGTGTTTGAATTCCCGCAAACCGTCACTTTTTGAGGGACGTAATGCGTGTAATTTTCCGTAATAAGAAACGTAATGTGGATTTTCGATGCTTCAATTTCTGTTTCTCCCGCATGCTAACTTCTAAACCATTAATATTAGTGCATTTGATTCTAACAGGATAACAGTCTAATAAAATCAGAAGAAATAAAACACATTACTGTTTCTGTGAGATCTTCAACAAAGTATCGTATTGTGAGCAATCTCAAGACGACTGACCCTTTTGGTGTTACTAATATAATGCATGTCAATTATCATTTTTATTATCATTCATCATCCATGATTTGGTCCGAATCCGATTTTCTGACATTTTATTACAGCACAGAAAACCAATGATATTTTAAAACTAATACCGAAAATTAAGGTACACGAAGAAGTAAATTTCCTCACTGAACAATTTACTAAAATAAATAATGGTATGCCGCTAATATTAACAATGATACAACTAATAAAAGAACAAAGTTCCTATTTCTTCCACGTTGCACGTATTTTATCTAACAAAAGGTAATAGTCAACAATATTTACGCCCGTAAAATTTTGACGGAACGTTATTATGGTATACAAATGTCCGGTGTCTGTCTGTCCGTCTTAAACATGGTACAGCACAAATATCCAAATTTCATTAAACTTAACATAGTTGTTTTTTATGATGGTCAAACGATAAGTATACTTTTTGGTGAACGTTTTGAGTTACAGGACTTTGTAACTAAAACAGGAGTGTTTTTTGTTTTCACAGTTCGCGCCGTATCTCAAAAACGATTTATGATTATTGCTTAAAACTGTACACACTTCTTAGTTATATTAATCTGAAGATGTGTATACTTTTTGGGGATGATTCAAAATTCTATTTTATAGTTATTGAGTTTATGAAAAAAAGAGGGGGTTTTTCACATGTCGCGCCGTATCTCAGAAACTATTTATAATTATTGCATAAAACTTCACATACTTGTTATTTACATTAATCTAAAGATCTGTATACTTTTTCGTGATGATTCTTTAATTCATTTTTGAGTTCTTGAATTTTTATTGAGCTTCAATTAGATATCATATAACACATGATGTGATACATGTATATAAACTTCCTATTGAGAAAGAATAAGGAATGAGTCAGGATATACTTAGCATGAATTCCTGTACAACCCCCGTGTTATTTTAAAAACATTTATTATGGGTTTTTTCATAAGACGATGGCCGTATCATGCGCTCGTACCGCAGCTGTTTATTTTGTTCTTTATTTTTTTTTACAAATATATTAGAGAAATGACGGATTGACATCAAATACAATGCAATTTCCAATATAATTAATATTTCCAAATGGCATAACTCTTTTAAGAATAGTTGATATGCACAGATTTTCGAACATGTCCATACGATATTAGTTTTATAAAAATTTGGCAAGAATTGTACACTTGAAAAATGTATTAACCAGAAGGACATAAAGGACAGACAGAGGAATGGGCGTGTGATATTTTATGTACCCGGCAATGCGTCGCGCTGTGGTGAAAAAATATATATAGTTATATTTAGTATATTTACCAATAAAATTACGCTATGAGAGAAGTATTTGGATTTTAATCGCAACTTGCCACCCTCTCCCACTCTCTCCCCTCTTCCCCCTAAAAAACAGCATTAAAAACTGAAGAGAAAGTATATAATAGTACAAGATTATAAAAGTGACGTGCAGCGGCGGTTTTAGGGGGGAGGCTCAGGCCTCCCTTTTGAGGAAAAATTTTGGTTGGTTATATAGAGAATCACTGAAGCGTGACGAGAGCGGGTCCCCTCTTATGCAGTCAGTGAGCCCCCACTTATGAAAATTTCTGGATCCGCCACTGACTTGCTTTGCAATCGTCATTTAGGTGGGTATAGTGTGGAAAGTTGGGAGAGGAACAGAAACAAACCCAAAGCTGGGGGTGGGTGGGGGAATAGGTAATATGTCCAGTCCTTTCGCTATTAATTCAATCGTTTTGCCAAATCAAAAATTTCAAAATTATGGTTTAGTTTCTCTGTCTGGAAAAAGGCATCCTTTAGCAAATTGAAGATTCTCCTTTATAAGATTTTGTTTTTGTTTTCTGACAACATAAAAAAAGAAGATGTGGTGTAATTGCCGATAAGACAACTCTCCACAAGAGACAAACATGACACAGAAATTAACAACTATAGGTCATCGTACGGTCTTCAACAATGAGCAAAGCCCATACCGCATAGTCAGCTATAGAAGGCCCCGAAATGACAATGTAAAACAATTCAGACGAGAAAACTAGCGGCCTAATTTATGTACAAAAAAAGAAGTTCCGTTTGCAGGAAAAGACCTCATGTAAGTAACCTTTGTGCTGTGATCCAGTGGAAATAAGTATTTCAAGTGAACTTTAAAACTGTTCAGAAGCCTATAAATTTTATTCAATTGCAATCATTGACCCTAATAAAAGTTTAATTTTATGAATAAATGTGAATTCTAAAAAGTGATTAAAACGTGAATAAAAGGATTTTAAGGAGTATTGTAATAAAACAGCAGCCCACCAAAAAAAAAAAAAAAACAAAAAACAACATCTAGAGGTCAACATATTGTAAAAAATAACACACGAGTGTGTACAGTACATGTACCTGTATGTCAAGTTCTAAATTGCCGAGTCTTTAATTCTAAAAGCCGTAAAATTATCAACAGTCCGTAATAACTTTTCTTGCGATGTTTCTCACTTAGACCACAAACAGAGACAGGTATTTATGATTCACATGATTTTATTTCCGAAAACAATTTGACCAATTTATAGGTAGCTGTTTACAAGCAATATTTATACATCTAAAAAATGTCGCCGGTAACTTGCAGATATAACGTCGAAATTGTCTGCCAGCGACGTCGTGCATTTAATCGCTAACGTTGAGGTTCCAAAGGGGGGACTCAATTTTTAGGATAACTCACGTTTATCATGGAATCCAGCACGGTGACATATATTTTTTATTTGAGATTTGGAGAAAGCATGACAAAATGCAGTTTATGTAGAAAAATGATAAAAAGGACATTTTGAGAAACACTTTATTTCCCTATTTTTAGGTTAAAAAAAATATGACTTTGAGCATCTGGTCCGCAATGTCAAGCAAGGCTTGCATAATTGTTTAGTCATTCGTGTAGGGATTTATTTTTTTCCTTATTGTGTCTTATCACAGCTTCAAATTGAACCCGGTCTTAATAATTTACGACGAAGAATATCTGCTCCAAAAATTTTATAACATTGCCTAACTTTTTTACAAAATTGCACAAATCCCCAATTTTCAGCCTCAATTTTCTCGAAAACAAGCATGGTGACCTATGTTTTATTTTGTGTTTTATTTAATAACTTGCCAAGGCCTACAACATATTTCAAAATTATAAAAATGACATTATATCGAGAAACTGTATCGGATGCCCTTAATTAATGTGAGCAATGTGACTTGGTGATTATTGTAATAATAACAACTTGCATTCCGATATCTGATATATGTATCTGAATCGCAATAATTAAACCTTGCATTTACGTCTATTCTTCAAAATCGCAATAATAATTGCATGCAATAATTTCTTAATTTACAGTAATCATATTAATAAATTAATCAAAAGCCCAAGGTAAAATTCACACTGAAATGACCAGCTGCAAGAAAACAAAAATAAAAGTCACTGCAGTTTTATCATCTCTCTGAGCTTGCTTTTCTGGATATATAGCTTTTTCTTGTAAACTAATATTCAGACAAAAAACCTTTGAAAAATCTTAAATTCCCTGATAATTCACTTTTTTTAAGAAAAAAAATATTTAAAATGCTGTGGTACTGACATGATTTATTGACTTTTTGAAAAGTCCCACTTGATAATCAAGAAACTTTGTTAAGGTTCCAACTCCCTCAGGCAAAGTCGACCTTAGAGGAATTTGGCTTTTTTTCTTAATTGCATTTAGGTAAAATATCTCCTAATGATTCTACATATTTATACATATAGCGTTTGCAAATGTTTGGTTTTGAACATTCCTGATGAACATGACGAAGGTAAATTTAGAAAGCGCTAAGGATGCACAAAATTCATAAAGTGTTATTTTCATTCATTAACACTTAATTTTAAAACTAATTAACACATACCTCATTCCCAATATTCCTACAGAAATCATAGTTGTTGTTGGCCATATCAGCCTCGGTCTTTACACTCGGTACATTTATCTGCATTTCTACACCATAACGTTTTTGAAACTTTTTCCATCCTGATACAGATTCAGGCTTTGACATATTAGGACTGAAATTTTCTTTCTTAATACTTTCCGCCTCCACTAATTGTCGTTGAATACTATCTACATTTTCCATAGACTCTGAATTTTTATCAGGCAAGTAGGATTCTGAATAAATATCCACGTCATCATCAAAAGATTCATGTCCTTTTAAAGTTGAAGATTTTGTTTCAAGTTTATGGATACTGCTTGCTGTCAATGTGCTTTCAAGGCTTCCTGTTCGACTAAAAGGCGGAGATTGTAAAATATCAATATCATCTCCTACATTATAACTGTCCTCACTCATCATACGTTCAACTTGAGATTTTCTCTGAATGGCAGAATCTCGAGTGAAGTCTGCCAAGTATTCTTCGTCAACACTTCTCTGAGAATCTTCAGTATGCCAGATACCTGAATCGGCAATGTTCATTTGTTCTGATTGGATAAGATAAGGTTCTGACCTTGAACTTCCATGACGACCAGTATATCCAGGGGAATCACCACTATCAAACGAATCAGTTGAAGTTTCAATGGACGTCATGCTCGGACGATAATTTTCAAAACTAGATGTCCTTGCCGTACCAAAACTGGTACCAAATGAGTAATAGTTTCCAGCACCATTTTTATGAGACTCAAATACTTCGTCTTGCTCCGGAACATTTTGTAGTGATGAATAATTTCGAGATTTTGTGGCTTGGAATTTTTTCCGTTTCTCAGAGGCATCAAGAGACTGAGTTCTGCTTAATTTGTTTGCTTTAGTGTCTGCCTCTGACCTACATTTTTGTTTGTGTCGGTCATAAAATCCCTGTTGGGCTAGAAACTCCCTATTTTTAGGATTTTGGAGAATACTTGGATGTTCTTCTGGTTTTTCAGCAAGATTATTTAAACTTTTTGCACTTAAAAGATTAAGAAACTTCATGCCATGCATAACTGAATTAAGCATGTTGCCATAGTTAGGGTTACCTGCCAAAACAAAACAAAAAACACAGCTAAACTAAAAATTAAAGCAAACTAAAACACACTAATATCAAGGTTAATAAAACACAAAATAAACTATAGTTAGGTGTACTTGATTAATTTATTTTCATGGATACCAATTTTCATGGATAAAGGAAAAATTGTCTTTTCTTGGATATTTGATTTCATGGTTTTACAAAAGTTTGTATACAATTAAGCCTATAGAAAATTTGTACTTTGTAAAAAATCTAAATTCATGTTTCACCTGTATCCATGAAATCCATTAAGATTGGTATCCCACAAATAAAAATAAACTCACAGTATAAAACAAAACAGACATAAGGTAATTCTATAGACAGGTGCAACTGACGTACCAAATATCATTAAATTGATTGATTGTTTGTGTTTAATGCCACTTTCAGCCCTCTTGGCTATATCATGGCAGCCTGTTTTTATTGGTGGTGAGAGAACCCCGACCTTTCGGCAGGAAAACAGGGTCAATTAAGATCGCAGACAGATGCACCTGCCACAAGTTAGTCATGTCATTCTAAAATTTTAAACAGTCTACATACCCCAGGCCTATAATTTTCGTGAAGGATTTTGTGTTAATCGGTAAAAATCGGTGACCTATAGTTGCTAGATTAATATACTACGTCACTTAATCTCTGGTGGAAAGTTGTCTCATTGGCATTCATACTACATCTTCTTATTTTTACATAAGGTGTATAAAAACAAACAGAGTAGATTTTTAAATATATAGATGCAACTGAAATAAGAAATATTAACCATTTCTTAATTTTGGTCAGTCACTAAACCCTTATAGCCCATAGTCATCCTGAAGAGTTTTTTTTCAAATTGGTGAAAATCATAATTGAAATATGCCCTAATTTCTGAAAAGTAAAGCAGCTTTTCACTTGCTGGATTTCCTGGACTGGGCGCTGTATTCCTTATATCAACATACAAAAAAGGGGGTTGTCATTATTAGAAAATTGCTATATTGATTTGAGCATTAATTAAAAATTGTTATTAATAGTTAATATTTTTTATGGTGGTAAATAAAATGTAGTTTTGTAAAAGTATCAATATTGCCTTTTTATGAAAGGCCTGAGCTAAAGTCATTTGGATCCAAACATTAACTTTAGCAGTAATCTCTGATATAAATTGATACCTAGGCCTGCAAATAATAAAAGACAAAAAAAAAAACTTTTTTCATGTAAGAGGTGGATAAAAGTAGTCAATGTTTTGGATTTTTGCCATACTTAATAATCCCAGATATGCTTATTTTCTCTAAATACTTATTTATATGATAATAATGCATTCAAATGAAAAAGTACAGAAAAAAGGTTAATAAACAAGTATATATGTAAAACAACTAGCATTGCTACAAACAAATCATTCATAAACACTACATGGTTAAATCTACTAAAATTGCAAGTTTAATGTAAATTAGGCTTAAATTTACACCGGAAATTACACTCTATAACTCAAAACCTGTCAAATTTGACACATTTCTTTGGGATTTTTTGTTGGATGTTGCTTATTGAAGACATACTTTTCATCACATATTTTACTTAGAGTTACCTCCCATTTTTGTAAGCTTTCTTTTTAAAAAGTTGATAAAGAAGTTGGAGTAACAGATGAAATATTTTCCTACACAACTTGAGAAAACCGTACGAACTCCAAAAACCCACCTGGCTACTGGTGTGCTTGTAAATCTTATGAAAATCTAAATTTATTTCTGCTTATTGGTATTCCCTTTAAATGAGGATATGTTCACCCTCCTAAAGAACATGAATTCACATGATTTCAGTGGGTGCATGTATCTCCAAGTGGTTGTTGTTGTTGCTATCCCTAAACTTTGTTTTTTTGGCATATTGATTTGCATCAGGCTCTGTTATTTTCCTTTGAATTGTTTCTTATTTTTCATGTCAGGGCCTTTTATAGCTGACAAAATGGTATAGGTTTTGCTCATTGTTAAAGGCTGCCATATGGTGACTTATAGTTACTTGTATCCACGTCCTTTAGTTTCTGGTGGATTTTCTAATTAGCAATAAAACCACATCTCCTTAACTTTATATCAAAGCTTTAACTTTAATTTTTTTAATTTTAATTGCATGGTGATTTAAAATGAATGTCTTTGTTACTTTAGACAATGTCCTTATTTTTTTCCAGATTTATTAGGGTCTTCCTCATAATGTTCTCTGAAAAAACTTTTGTAATTACCAAATTAATGTCATTTGTTTACAATAAAATGGTGTATTGTGTAACAATGAGGAATACAAATTAAAAGCTTCCTGAAATTTGACAATTTTATTATCATTTTATTCAATTTTTAATTAACAATATAAATAATATCTGTAAACATATAACAAATTATAAAGCTATAACAATAAGGATAATAATAATAATATATTCTAAATACAGATAGTCTCCTTTAACTCATAACAAGCAAAATGCATAAATATAGATATATTCTACAGCTGCATCAAGTGAGATATTGTATTATAATAAGGATGGTATCTAGTGAGTGCTGGGGCCAGCCTCTCAGAATTCAAACAACCAAACCATCCAGGAAACAGATTAACAATAGCACTTAAGTTCCATGTTTCTGAAACCAACTTCTTATTACGTGCATTTATATTGAACAAAATTGAAAATCATTTAATGATAAAATTTTGTTTACAGGATCCTAACCATCAAACTAATGATCGATGCTATCAAATGTAACACATACCAAATCCATATTAGACAAAAATCTCTTCATTTACTATTTAATTTTATGTAAAACTTTAAAATATGCAATCAAAATGACAACACATGTTGACAAATACATTAAAATGACTGATGATTAAAAACAATATGATCTACTCACATGCAAAATTTAATTCAAATCCACCTCCCATTTTGGCTTTTTCTTCTAAATGTTTTAAACAAAAATATGATTAACTAATGTCTGCTTATTTAATCACTAAACTCAAACACACTTCAATTAGCAATGAATTCTTTACAAAACTGTTTATGTGACAAGTTTTACAGGGGTTAATATATGTATCTTTCCGTAGGCCAAACAAAATAATATATGAAGTTCAAGTCCAAGGGCAATAACTCTGAGCATTAAGTAACATGTTGTCTGGCACGTACTTAAATTGTGCACAAGGGTAAAAAGTGAACTGAAACGACCTCACAGTCTTGAACAGGAAACTGGAACAAATTTATTACTATGAAAATAGAATAAGCTGAAAGAATAATTTTATTTTCTGCCCTTTTAAACACGTTCAGTTGTACTGTTTAAGGTGCAAACTTGACATATAATTGAAAAGTTCATCTGTTGAATTTCCTCTTAATAAACCAGCATGTAAAATGCCTTTAAGAATATATATCCTTAAAGGAAAAAGATTTTACAGTCAGACAATCAGGTAACAAAAATCTCATTTTTAATGACCAACTTCAATTTGAACAGGGCCTCAAAATTCCTTGTTTGTATGTCATAAAAGAAAACATTGATTTATTGTCGCGGTTCAACACCAATTTCAGCAGTCTTGCCTATATCATGTCAGTTAGGTTTTTTTTTGGTAGAGGAAGACTGAGTACCCTGGGAGAACCAAGAACTTCAGCAAGGAAAACTGGTAGTCTGCTTCAATTAAGATAGGGGTCGAACGCACCTGCCATGAACGGGTTTTCAGAGTTGACAGTCTAGTGATCAATCTCAAAGAACTACTTAGATCACTAGACCACTTTGGCTCTATGAAAAATTGAAGCCAAACAATATCAGGGTTGAAACACCTTAATTTAGCAAGTTTTGAGGAAACTCAATATAAGCATTAATACTAAAAGTGCTCTCACAACTTGCTTAAGGTATTGCATCATAAATTTAGTAAAAGTCATAAAAGGGATTATGGCAATTGATTTTAAAGTGCATTTTCAAAAAGTGCAAAATCATCTCATATCAAAATTCAAATACCATAGGTAATTGGTACAAAGAATGTAAAAATTTTAACAAATTCCAAGTTCTTAAATATCAGAATTCTTGGCACGGCCTAAAACCATTAAATATTCAATATTTTGATGAATTGATAGACAGACGCGACTGTACATTACGACATTAGGCTTTATTTAGATGTAACTACACGACAAATTTTGACAAATATTTACCTCAAGTTCCTCAAAGTAATTAATGATAAATAAGTACAATGTAGTTTATTAATAATAGTTTACGGAATTCAGATGCAAACAGGAAATTAAATTTTGGGTTAAAAACAAAGCAAGTTTCGTGTTTTCAGGTCAGACTACAACTGAAAATCTATTGAAAGGACGTGGGTTGAAATCTAAGTATGATCTCTGGTGGAGAGTTATCTCATTGGCAATATTGCAACATCTCATAATTTTTAGAGAAGTTTAGCCAGGCCATTTAGATTTTTTTCTCTCAATAAAATGTCACAAAATTGTACAAATGAACAAAAGCTATTTTCAAATAATAAATAATTTGTAGGAACATGTCCAAGGTGAATTGTTTTATTCTAAGAGAAATTTGTAAGGGTTCTGCAGAACCCAGTGTCTCGCCTACTTTTGCTGTTGTCTATGTTTTCAGTGTGATATGTAGTGACGGAACGTAGGATCGCTTTGTCTCGCTTGTGCGACAAAAGTTCCAGGCTCAACAAAAATGGGGAAAAATTTTTTAAGAAGCTTCTGTCCAAGTTTGGCAAAAATCCAGGATGGTTTATGAATCTAATAAATGTTTTAAAAACTTTAACTGCAGACTGTATGTAATGTTAACTGGAAGAAAAACTAAGTCCATTTATAAGTAATATACGGAAAAACAGGAAATAAATTTTTTCAAAATTTCCTTCTAGATACTAGCTTTTGATCATAAACAAGCTTCTGACCAGGTTTGGTACAAATCCAGGATAGTTTAAGAAAGTTAATAAAATTTCAAAAACTTTAACCACAGAGTTAATATTTGTGGACGCCGCTGCCTCTGCCGACGGAATGTAGGAGGACTATGTCTCGCTCATGCGACAAAAGTCGCAGGCTCGACAAAAATCACAGGCTCGACAAAAAGCACTCCTTCTCAATTCAAGAGGTGTGCATTCTGTTTTAGTGACATTTATCCAAGCCGCATCAACTCCAAAACAAAGACAGAAAACAGCAGACATCATTACCGATTTCATTATAGTTTTTTACAAAAAGGGACCAAAAATACTAAAGTTCATTGATCTTAGCATGAAATGTGTTAACATTACATACAAGTCATGTCCAATTATTGGTCTACAAGTCATGTTAAATTAGTCATTTTGCTAATGACCCAATATTACCTTAAAGCACACACCTTTCAATGATTCAAATACTTCATTTGATTAAAACTATCAATTATATCTACCTACCTGAATCATTTTAAGAGAAAAAGCATGTAGGATTTACACACTGTTTTAAAACCTTATGTCTACCTCATACATTTGGAAGGAAAAAAAACATGCAGGGTTTATATGTTATTTAAAAAAGAGTATTGTACTCCTCTTCTATTTAAAACCTTCAAAATGACAAACATGACAAAATATTGCACAAAAAAAAGAACCACCATGAGTAAATTGTATACAAATATTGTAATTGATTTATCATTAAAAATCTTTCTGTTTTCTGGGATTAATCTTCAGATTATTTGAAAATTGTCAACCTCAGGATGAATTTAATTTATGATATATTCATTTGAGAATTAGTCTTCATAATTGTCTACAAAGGACAAGGTTTACTTTGGGCCAAATATGGCCTTGAATTTCAACTTTATCATAAAACATCAAAATGGCCATAATTTTGTTCTTAAATGGATCTATTGCAAAAGCCTTACTTCTAATTTATAAAAATCTCTTCATAAAAGTACATTCTAGGCTTCAAAGTCAGCACAGTTTGGATATATTGTCAAAATAGGATGATTTTGTGCATTTTTCACACCTAAAATCTTGAGGAAATCATTCGCCCCAACCTAGGATCCAATATTTTCTGTAACCAAAAGTTACCAACGATGATATTGAAGCTCCCTTACCCCTTCCCCTGTTAAATTTTAGTTTGATCAAATGAATTAAATATGCAATGAACTAAAAATTTCCTATAGATGTGTAAGCAGAATTCAAGAATACAAAGAAATTGGTACCCCCAAAAATAAATGAATTTACAGTAATTTAGTCAACGTCAACTGTTTTATAACAGTTATATCTTATGAAAAATATTAACATGTCTTTATCAGATTGCCAATAAAATATGGTCTTCAATAAAATCATCTTTCAATGAGACCCTTATATGAATTATTAGCATACAAACATCACTGGCTTGGTTCATAAATTCAAATTTGTTTTGTACTTTCTTTATAAGTACATTTATTGATATTCAAAACATCTAATTTTCAAGATCATGCAGACCTTTTTTATCTCACGAAAACCTTGTATCATGGTGGGTCATGTCATTTGTAGAAATACAAAGGTACATTTATTGGTATGCTAAACGCCTGTGTAACAAGGTCATGCAGATCGCTTATCTCACAACAGTTTTTTACAACGGTTACGCCCCGTGTAGAGCAAGCACATCCTATGTAGAAAGATGACGAAACAAAAGAATGAACCTGATAAAATTCTTTAACCGCCAGACACAAAAATGAGTCTGAAAAATACATTTTAACAGACAATTCGACAAAATGTATGTCATATCATACAAAGTATTTCAATTTATTTAAGTAGTAAATTAAGGAGACTGTGGTTTACCGATATTTGAATCTCGTAAATCCATTAAGAGAGTGCTTGATAAAATTTTCAAATGTATTTTGATTTAATTATTTTGCTAAGGAAATAACTAACTTAACACTACCCTGCCATAAATTCATTTCCCTGTTACAAGTGATTTTAAAATTCTACGACTCATTTCACAAAAAATCTTACAAGTGAAAATACTCGTAAGTTATGAACATTTCAGTATAACTTACGATCAATTTTAGTCGTAAGCTTAAGATATTTTGTGAAAAGAGCCCCTGGTTTAACTTAACTTATCTATTGAAGATTTCAAATTTTTTTAAATATTATTTTACTACACTCTTTTTAGCGACTCCTTTTATGAAACATGCAATAAAATAAGGCTTCCTGTAAAGCTATAAGGAAACACATTATCCAAGTTACAAACAAAGAAAGCGTCATACCTTTAGTGACTGTATTTCACAAATTTTTACATGGTCAATTCAATTTGACTGCAAAAATAGCACAACCCCTCAAATAGCACAACCGCACAAATTGCACGACTGCACAAATAGCACGGATGCAGTATAAAACATGATATATAACTATGAACATACAAAACTTATGAACACAACATTTATAAAATATTTATAATTCTTTCTTTAAAAATATAATACATTTTTCTATAATAGTACACAACCTGATATTAAAGATTCGATGGCATCTGTAGATAATTGAGTATTGTAAAATATTACCCTATCTATGTCTTTTGTCTGAATGAGTATTGTTTCAAAAAATTGCTTGACAAAAAATGACTCCTTAAAAATGAAAAAAAAAAAAAATTGAGATCTTCAAATAAAATGTAATATAAAAAGCCATTTCTCTTCTATGATACAGAACTTTGTGGACCATTAAAATACAACTGAATTCCTAGTTCTTATTTGATTATAAGCTCAAAATATTTCTATCTTAAACAGTTATCTCCCCTTCAAAATGAGTAACAGTTTTAAATTATTGTTTCTAAAGTTTAATGAACTTAAAACATTTTATTTACCATGTGGTCAGATTGCTGTATAACTGACCCCCTTATTTATATTTAAACTTATACATATATGTTTCAAAAAAAATAAATCAGGGACTTTTTTCAAAAAAATCTTTCGTTTAAAATTGATCGTAAGTTATACTGAAATGTGTATGACTTACTAGTATTTTTACTCTTAAGATTTTTTGTGAAAAGAACCACAAAACTATCTGCATGTTCTTGGAAAGAATAACTATATTGTAAATTTATCATTATTCATGGGACATCAATTTTCATAGATTTTGTGGGCAAAGGTGAATCACAAATTCAATTATCAAACAAAGAACAAAACTTTCTACAGGATTGTATCACGGCAGCACACTTAATCAAAAACCACGAAATTAAATATCAATGAAAATACAAATTTTGATCATCCACAAAAATTTTAATCCACAAAAATAAATCAACTGTACATTTGAAATTATGCATATCTAAAAAAAATTATAAACTAGAACAATCACAATATAGCAAGTAAAACTATAATTAATCTCAAACCAGACTTTCATTAGAAGAAAGTCCATACTTTCGAAAAATAGTAGGTGAAGGGGTTTCTTCAGATGACAGACTTCTGAAAGAATTGAGTTGTAACATCTGGGATTCTTTACTGATCTGTAGTGTATTTGGTCTTTGTAGTAAACTGGTCCCCTTTATTTGTACTTTGCTCTCTTCTGTATTTGGTCTTTGTAGTGAACTGGACCCTTTTATTTGTACTTTGCTTTTTTTTATTGGAGCTGTTCCTGTGTTTAGTTCAACCAGGACATCTTGTATGTTTGTTACCTGTATTGGGAGTGTTCCTGATTCTGATTTTTTCGAAAAATTATCATTTGTTTTAATAAAAGTTCTTGCTTTATCTTTTTCCTTCTTCTTCTCTTTAGGTGATGAACTTTTCAATTTTGTCAATAAAGAGCTAAACACAAATTTGGACTTTTCCAAATTAAGCTCTGTATACTCCAACAACTCTGCAAGTCTTTTGAAATCAATATAGTGTAACGGTACTGAGTCGAACAGCAGACCAAGAGCTTGGAATGTGAGGTAATAAAGGGAAGATAACTTACCGTGACCAGCGGCCATCATGGCATCCATATTTGTATGAAGATCAAGATTTTCTCCTCCTTCCTGTTGATCAGAGATTGCCTGAAGTATTTGAGAGAGTTCAGGATTGTCACCAAGAAAGTCTGTGATTGAAACACCCTCTGCACCTGATTTGTCAGCTTTGAATCGTTCTGGAATTCTTTCGATTGGATTGTCCCCTTGTTCACCTTCTCCAAAACCAAGATTTGTCAAGATTTCTTCTGGATCATTAGATCTTTCATTTAATAGCATATCAACACTGAAAAAGAAGAGATTCATGTTAGGTAAGTTGAATGATAAAATTTTTAATTTTCCAGTATTGTAGATTCATTTATCCTTTTGTATACTAATTTTCTTGGATTAAAGAAAGATTGTATTTTAGTAGATATTCAATTTAACGGTTTGCCAAAATCTGCATACAAGCCTATAGAAAATTTGTAATTTGTTGAACATTAAAATTTGAAATTTCACCTGTACCCACAAGATCCACAAAAATTGGTATCCCAGGAATAATAATGTCGATCCACTAGTGGAATGATAAAAAATTTCAATTTTCATGTAAAGATTTTTTCTCATACTAATAAACAATGATTCATGGCAATCCCCTATCTCTGCACTGGACTCTACTAAAACAATTTAATTTACTGCATAATCATGATAGTCGTATGCCTAGCTGTCCCAATTAACATTTGACCATAGGCGTTTCTAGTGATGGTTAGTCCAAAAATGTGCACGAAGCCCTGCAGAAATGGCACATTTTACTTTTGATTTACTAACATTGAGTCAATACCACTGGTAATAAACTGTTAGCCCATCAGGGTTACTCGATAATGAGGCCAGAAGTCAAATTTTCTACATCAATTTTGCTATTTGAGATGTACGTGTATATCTTTATAAATTCTCAGATGAAAAAAAATCACTATTAAATCATGACTTCTGATCTTTCTAAATCTATAACTTTTCATATTGCATTTTACATTTGCTATTTGTAACTTACATTTTTTTTCAATTCTCGGATGATGAAATCACTTTTCAATCATGACTTCCATTCTTTAAATCTTTACACTTTTATAATTTTATTTCCATTTGCTATTTGTAACACACATTTCAAAAATTCTCAGATGAAAAAGTACTATTTAATCATGACTTCTATATTCCGAAATCTTGACATTGTTTTATATATTATATCTGCAGAGGGAGGTCCATGACTACAATCTGTGACATAATAATGTCCAATCAGGGTTTAAATCCATTTTGCAATAAAAAATTATCATTGCAAAAAATATGTTGATTACAACAATCAAAATTATGAGATAAAAGGATTTTTATGGATATTCTGTAATCTATTTGGTCAAATTTTGACAGATGTTATGCAGAATATTTTTCATACATGTACCTTCCTCATATAATGATAAAATCAATAAAAATTTAACACCTGTTAACATTACACCATACAACCAAATCTGGTATTTTGTAGCATTGTGAAAATCCTGAGTTTGTGACAGTTATTGTCTTCATAAGTCAATAGAACTGGGGAAAGTATACAAAGATAAAACAAAATGGTGTTTCTGCTATTGGTAATCCAACCAACCCCTAATTATTGGTCCTATTAACCCTGTAGATATTTTTATCATTTTTTAGCAAGCACTATCTAAGTCAGACTATTTCCCTTGTGGAAACCTCTTCAAAAAATTTTGAAAAATAAAATCAACTCCCTACCTTCTGACCCAAATTATTTTCAGCTTGTTACGAGACACACGGGTATTATCTTTTGGGCCCTGTTCGATCAAATTGCACATAGTATGGTTAAATGGGATTCGAGATATTTGCTTATGCAACACCAACTTTAACCAAACAAAAAAAAAACATAAAAATAAGTGAAATTTATAGAGTTCAACACATTAAAAAAAAAATATAAAGCTCATCAACTGATATTTTTTAATCCATTTTTCATATTACATACTACTACAAAAAGCAGAAATAATATCATTTGGGGTTTTAATTTCATTTATTTTGTGGATACAAATACTATCCACAAAATTTAATAAGACGTAGTGCACACCCTAAAATGTCTCGCCTTCTTTACTAACAATTGATTTTATGTTGATAGTCCTAAATATAAAGCTTTACTACAAGTAACACATAAACTTAACATGATCCAAGAAAATGAGGTCAAGGTCAGATAAACCAAAAGAGAAATACATGTACACCTTACAATCATTCAATAAACTAAACATAGTTGACCTATTGCTTATAGTTTCTAAGAAACAGTCTTAACCAAGAAAACTCAACATTGACCAATGAACCATGAAAATGAGGTCAAGGTCAGATGAACCTTACCAGACAGACATGTACATCTTACAATCAATTTATGCATTAAATATAGTTGACCTATTGCTTATAGTATCTAAGAAACAAACTTAACCATGAAAACTTAACATTGACCAATGAACCATGAAAATGGGGTCAAGGTCAGATGATACTTGCCAGACAGACATATACACCTTACAATCCTTCCATACAACAAATATAGTTGATCTATTGCTTATAGTTGAAGAAAAAACAGACCAAAACACAAAAACTTAACACTGAGAAATGAATCGTGAAAATGAGGTCAAGGTCAAATAAAAACTATGAGACTGACATGTACATCATAAAATATTTCCATACACCAAATATAGTTGACTTATTGCATATAGTATTAGAAAATAAGACCAAAACTCAAAAACTTAACTTTGACCACTGAACCATGAAAATGAGGTCATGGTCAGATGACACCTACCAGTTGGACATGTACACCTTACAATCATTCCATATACCAAATATAGTAGACCTACTGCTTATAGTATCTGATATATGGACTTGACCACGAAAACTTAACCTTGTTCACCATCCATGAAATTACTCATAATAAGAAAGAAATTAACATTACAAAAAAAGTTGACTTTTTTTTCAAGTAGTCACTGAACCATGAAAATGAGGTCAAGGACAATGGACATATGACAGACGGAAACTTCGTAACATAAGGCATTTATATACAAAGTATGAAGCATCCAGGTCTTCTAGCTTCTAAAATATAAAGCTTTTAAGAAGTTAGCTAACGCCGACCGTAGCCGCCGCCGGATCACTATCCCTATGTCGAGCTTTCTGCGACAAAAACCATCAAAAAATTTTACTTTCACATACTCAGATAACCATGAAAATTTATCCCTAAGAAATCTATTTTCAGAGACAAAACCAAAAAAAATTAACCCCATGAAAATAAATGTTTCTATAGTATATATATATATATATATATATATATATACATTGTATTCAAACTTGTTATTATATTCTTTAGTTCGTAAAAGACGTAACAGACTTACTTGCATTAATACACACAATGGGTAAAGATATTTTTGGAAAGAAATAGACATTTGAACAAACAAGTCAGCTCATATTTTTCCTTTATCATCAGATACCACAGTATTTAGCTAATAAATTTATGACATTCTATCAAAGCATTCCTTTAAAAGAAATTTGAGTTAGTCTATTGCATACAAAAGAGTGGCTCTGTTTGCTTACACAGATTATATTATCAGGATATAACTCCACGTAAGTTGTTTGATGTCTGGATTTACTTGAAAATTTTACCAAAGTAATTTACAATCAGGATGTAGGTTTAATAATTGAAGTTTAGAAAACATTTCTTAAACAGTATAATTTTCATTGATTTTAAGTGTTGAAATAAGTTTTAATATTTTCCCCATAAAATTAAGATACATACATTTCTTGTTCTCATGTAATATAAATAGATTCTACCACTGCATCGGGTGTGATACAATATATCTCCACTGGAGACGGTTAAATTTTAAAATTTAAAACACGAGGCTCACTGAGCATTTTAAATATTCAAAATTTAACTGTCAATAGTGGAGAAATATGTATTGCACAAGATTTTGTGGTAGAATCTGTTTTATCTAATGATTTTTAGAAGAAATGAATGCAAACTTAATCCTTTTTTCCGATGATCTGCAAAAAGATGTGTTCTTTCTTTGTAACGTCATCAGGCATGGTCATCTTTTTTCGTGACATCACAATAGGAAATTCAAAGGAAAGTAAGAAAATTTGATGTCATTATTGAATTTTGACCAATGAAGAACTGAGATAAAAAAAACTACATTTTGATTAAATAAAAATAATCAACAGGTCAGGAAAAGGATAAATTGGGTAAGAATTAAAGAAATAAAAAAAATCAACAGGTCAAGAAAAGGAAAAATTGGGTAAGAATTAGATAAATAGAAATAATCAACAGATCATGAAAAGGATAAACCAGCTAAGACTTAGAGAAATGTATTTAAGAGTACTGAATTACAAAATGTATGAAATTTATAAACTTATTTCAACTGTTAAAATGTTTCTTTTATTAGCTCCACCCTTGAAAATTTTCCATGGTAAGACCTGACCCCTAAAATAGTGTTTACTGGGAGGCTGGCTATCTGATGAAAAAAACTTAATAAAAAAATTTTTTTTTTAGCAAAAATTTTGATATGTTGTTTTAGAAATGGGTTTGGTGAACAATTTGCCCATTTAGGTCCCAAGGTGGTCTTGGACTTCTTACAGGCTATTTATTTGCACATTTACAAACATACAGTTAAATTATTTGAATTAACTATTTCAAATTGCATTGCTCAAAACAAGCCCAAACCAAAAGTAGACTAAATATTCATAAATAACATAACAATTGTGCAAGGAAAGGAACATGAAAAAAAGATATAACTGCTCGTAATTAACAAGACACAATTATTTAAATGTATGCACTTAAGACAATTCTTTACACTTTCTTAATTTTTACCTTTAATTATTGTTAACATTTTCAAAAGAATTGTTAAAAGTAGGCATTGATTTTAAACTATTTATAAAACATCAAAAATATCTCCTTAAAATATGTAAAACTACCTTCATTAAATCATCGTAAAAACCTGGACTGCTATCAAACATCAAACTCGACCCTGAAACAGGGACTTACGGCGTTAATTAGTACAAAAGTACAATTTTTCAAAGAAATTAACATGAATTCTAAATATAGTAACATAATGTACAGGTAACACATTTACTGAGACAGGTAAATGTCTAAAGTTTGTTTGAAGGTGCAAACTGTGTACATGTTGTGCTTATCTAAACGAGGAGATAAAAAAACTTATCTGAAATCTTATTTAATTTATTTTTCGATCAGCAAATTTTGAAGAGGCTTCAACTTTTTTGTTACCATAACTGAAAAGAATTACCTGATGTAGTCTGAGGCAGATTAAATCACTTGCAGACATATCATTACCGGTATGTTTTTTTCTTTTATAAGAAAAAGTTAAAATTTCTCTAAACTTGATAAATTTTCTTCCACTATAAAAGTGAAAAATAAATTACCCCCAAAAAAAAATAAAATAAAGAAGAATGTGTCTGAGGACACAAATACCCCTGCTCATGCTTCAAACAAACGAAAAATGGGACAGACAGACGGAAAGACAGACCGGGGGCATAAAAAGGATTTCAAGCAGACCAGTGCTTACAAGGATTTTTCCTTATTTTAATGCATAAATCCTCAAAAAATTTACAAACTAAACTCCAAACAATTTGAGATAATAATGATTGATTGTTGTTTGCTTAACATCCAGTGGCAAATATTTCATGCATGTTCAGGACAAATCAACAAAGAATACAGAAGGTAAGATTTGCATTGTAGAGGTATACCTGGATTAAGGGTATGAGATTTGGACAAAAAGGAAAATTAAGAAACGCTCATGTAAAATTTACAAACAGAACCCTTCTTCAACCTTTCTTGAATTTGCATTGAACTAAAGCTTATTAAAGAATTTCATCCAAATCCTATCATAAATAAAAGAAGAATGTGTCTGACAAAAATGCCCCCGCTTAATCTTCAAACAAATGAAAATGGGACGGACAGACGGACGGAAAAGAGTAACACTTAATGTCCCTGTCGCCTACGGCGGGAGAATAAAAAATTGTTGCTTACATTGATAATCGTTAAACTCAAATCACTGCTACATTACAAATTTTGTATTGTAGTATGGTGGGAAAATGCCTCATCAAGGCAGTAAGGCTACCATTAATTCTATATAATATTTCATATCTGCTATCATTGAAGTACAACGTAAATATAAACTTTCAATTGAACCTCAGTCAACCTTATACTATTTGTTTTCAATACTTATTGAACATATATAATAAATAAATCTAATATTTAAACCCCAACATAATACGTTATTACAACGTAAAAATACACATCCTTCTAACTTCAAAAGCTAAATATAAAACCAATAATACCACATACTTAAAAAGCTTGACACCAAAAAATGAAATACTGTGGCTGTGGAAACATTGTTATGTATCGGATATTAATTTTTGTAGATTTCCTGAGTATTGGTAAACAACAAATTTACAGTTACAACAAAGTGCAAATTTTCTATAAACTTAAGTGTTTGCAGACTTTTACAAAACCACAAATCAAATATCCAGGAAGATACAATTGTAAAAGAATGCACAAAAATTGTATCAACAAAAATAAAATTAATCAACGGAAAAAGCCCTCCATGTCAAAATGATAGATTTAATACTCACTTTTTTTACTACCTAACACCAGGAAGCAGATAATCTAGGAACACTATGAACACGAATCTTGATCATATATTTTACTGATAACCTTTTAGCTTTAATCAGTATCGCTGACAATCTTTAACAATTTCGACTTCCTACTCACATATGATCAAATATGATATGATAAAGTTCATATTTGCCTAATATTACATAATAAATTCACCGAAATTTAATGCAGTTTTTGTTTTCTTGTTTGAATTTGTAGGGTAAATAAACAAATGTATCAAGAGTACAATACATGTGACATTTATACAGAAATACTTTTGACATATCACACTAAGACTTTTTTAATTTATCCCCTCCTATCACCAAAGATATTACATATACATGATACTCCCCAAATAGCAAATGAAATAACATATAGTTCTTTCTGTGTACGGTTAGAGAAAATGCTCAAATTTCAGGGTATAAGAAACATTAAATGAAACTTCTTTCTTTTGTCATAATTCAGGCTGCTTTAGGTAAAAGGTAAAGATTATTCGTGACAAAAATGGAATTTAATTGTCGCTGGGCAAGACTGGGCAGCCTCTGAAATGTGTGTAAAGGTGCATCCCAATCACATAATATTGGTTTGATATCGCTTAAGAAGATTTCTGGACACCTAATTGCACTTGTCTATTCTACTTGTTAATAATATATATGAACAAAAATTCTCAATGCTTTATCATCTTTATAAGGTTTTAGAAGAATTTCATTTGACAATATATTTTCTCAGTTTTAGAGAAAACTGAATGTTAACTATTTCAGAAATTTGCATGCTTTTTATTCATTGCATCATTGTTTATTTATGTTTACAAAATAACAAGAAAACTAGGGAAGTTGTATCAACAGTTACACCCATGCATTGTACAGTTGTAGGTAAATGTTTTCTACATCTTTAAAAAAAAAATAACACCCAACACTTCAATAGTTTAATTCAATTACAGTGTAGGAGAGGACAAGTCTGATACCCTTCCCACTTAAATACAGTGTACTTGAAAGTCTGGATCCCTGCCTTGTCATGTATATAACATTTCTATTTTTAGATTCATTTTCATTGAAGTACAGATTCTGTGTCCAAGCTTCGCTTACATTAGTATCTGAAAACATTCCATTCTACTTTCTGTTTTAACGACCTTTAGGGATCCTCTGACTTTGGCGTAATGATACACACCTTCAAAAATCTGGAGGCAGCAATTTTATTGTCTGATGTATAAAATTACCAGAACAGAAAATTGAACCACATACTTTTAGATCCTTGTGAGCAAATATTACATGCATATAAAGTGTGACAAGGTTGTCACTAAGGCCAGTTCTGTATGTACTCATCATTTGCAAAACTAGTCCAAAGATGCATCAAGATTGCAAAATGTTGTATCACCTGATCACACAATATCATCATTTTATAGAAAAAGGTTAAAAATAATTGTAATTTAATGTCATTTCATTGCTTTATTTTTCCATGGAGACTATAATAATAAATTACATAACAATACACTTTCTTCTTCTTACTGTTGGACTCACCATGGACACTCCTTCAAAAATTCTTAAGAGAGAACCCTGAGGATGAGTGTTCTGTGACAATGTACAATATCTCTCTATACTAACCTTATATCACTAGAGTTACTGGTTGCTGTGTTCTGTGACAATGTATAATCTCTCTATACTAACCTTATATCACTAGAGTTACTGGTTGCTGTGTTCTGTGACAATGTACAATCTCTCTATACTAACCTTATATCACTAGAGTTACTGGTTGCTGTGTTCTGTGACAATGTACAATCTCTCTATACTAACCTTATATCACTAGAGTTACTGGTTGCTGTGTTCTGTGACAATCTACAATCTCTCTATACTGACCTTATATCACTAGAGTTACTGGTTGCTGTGTTCTGTGACAATCTACAATCTCTCTATACTGACCTTATATCACTAGAGTTACTGGTTGCTGTGTTCTGTGACAATCTACAATCTCTCTATACTGACCTTATATCACTAGAGTTACTGGTTGCTGTGTTCTGTGACAATCTACAATCTCTCTATACTGACCTTATATCACTAGAGTTACTGGTTGCTGTGTTCTGTGACAATGTACAATCTCTTTATACTGACCTTATATCACTAGAGTTACTGGTTGCTGTGTTCTGTGACAATGTACAATCTCTCTATACTAACCTTATATCACTAGAGTTACTGGTTGCTGTGTTCTGTGACAGATCAGAACCAAAGCTATGTTGTTCTAGGTTTCCCAGAAGCCATTTTAATTTCTTGTCCACTGGTACTTCTAGCTGTGAAGTCTCAGTTCTAGAAAAGGTAAAGGAATCAAAACTGAAATGAATATTCTTGAGCAAATGAGTTTTGGTCTTAAACCAACATTTTAACATCATCTTAAATGTCTGAATATGAAAATATTGTCTAGTTAAAGAGTTTTCATATTTCAGGATCATCCTAGAAGTAGACCTGGAACGAAAAGACATTTCACTTGTTGTCAATCAATATGAAAATAAAAAAGATGTGGTATGATTCCCAATGAGACAACTCTCCACCAGAGACCAAATGAGACAGACTTTAGCAACTAAATGTAATGGTGCCGCCTTCACCAATGAGCAAAACCTGTAATGTATAGCAAGCTGTAAAAGACCCCGAAATGTCAATCAAGCACTCTCTCTTTATCTGAATATTTTTTTGCAAACAATATTAATTGAGGCAACTTTTATTTTCAGGGGACAATCAAAAAGTAAACTTTCAAAACAGGGTTTATAAAATGTTCCTGCAAACCTCAATATTGCAAAAGTGAAAATTGTCAATTTCAAACTAATAATTGACCTCCATTGTGTCATCAGTATATATATAACAACAGTTCATCAGGTATAAGCATGGAAAGAACCAGAGCCGCCAACCCAAACTCAACTCCACCTACAGGACACGTCATTCAACTCCAAATGAAAAACAAATATCCATCGGAAAACTATGTATAAAATCATTTTAAAATGGGTGAGAAAATACAATATGGGAGTAAGGCTCTGTTGAAGTTTAACAAAATTCTGTCAAGCAGTTGGGGAGCTGATTGATACAAAAGTGGGACAGAAGGATGAATTGAATGGAGGAACTAAATAATGGACACCCCATCAGTATATGCCTTCCACTCCATTAAGCTGTTGGTATAATAAGATAAGTTATTGCTTAGCAATGTATTATTTCCCTCAGAACATAAAGAAAAGTTAACCTGCACTATTTTATCATATTGCACTAGTGCAAAAACAATTCAAATTATCAACATCATCAGTCACAGAAATATGTTTGAAACAGTTTTTAAGCTTTGTTGTACAATAAAAGGTTTATTGCATATTTTTTAAGTGAACATTATCTCTCACATAATACATATTGCACTAGCAAGCTCCAGCAATAGAAGTATCTACTCGGAACAATATTCACCAATATCCATAAAATAAGAATCCCCCTATAAGCTGACAAAATTTTAATGCAAAATGAAAATGTAATAACAAAAATGTTTGAAAAAAGTTTAAATAAAAGATCAATACCACTGCAATGAACTTACTTTTGAGAAATGATATTCAAACATAAAAAAAATAGCTACTGTAAATTAAAACTTCCTGATCTAAAATATATATATTTTCCTCAAATTTAAGGAAATGATTTATAATTTATAAATACAAATATTATTTTTGTGAGTTATATGTGTTTATATTGATGTGAGTTTTTGAGGATTTTTCATTCTGCAGATGCATGGATAAGTTGGACCTGGTAATGACTTAGTCACTCAGTATCATACAATGGAAGGATTCTGAAAGGCTTTGTTGCACTAAATTCAATAGATTTTGAAATTCATCTATTGGTTGAAAAATAAGAAACCATTCTTTAATAAATTGCTTGGACGAGCGCAGCTGGATACGACTGCAGAGGTCCAACCCTGAACAGTTGGGGCAAAAATGGACACGATATTCGCGATTGATACAGGTCTGAATTTGGATTGTAATTCAATATTTGACACATAATAGGTTTATGACACAAAATAACTGTAGTCAAAGAACTTAGAATTGGTTATATGATTTGAATTTATATTCAATGTTTTGCTTTTGTGCAATACACTATGCTGTTGCGAATTGACCTCCCCCCCCCCCCCCCCCACCCCCCTTTTTAAAAAAAAAAAATTTGAAGGATTTTCTATTTGATTTCTGAAATCTTGAGGAGAAAAAATTGTCCCCCCTACCACCACCACCAATTTTTTTTAACCTCCCCCCCCCCTTTTTCCAAAAAAAAATTCTTTCCCTCAGTCATGGTCATAATTTCAATTCAAATTTCCAATGGAGTTTGCAACCACAATAACCCATTTAAATACATCATAAAAGTCTTAAAATAGAAAATGACATACATAATCATAGCTAAAATTAATTTACCTTAATCAGCATTTTTAAAATTATTAAAATAGTAACTTCTAAAAAATAAATGACAGTTAATCACCTCAAGACAATACAAAAATTCTTTAAACATAATTTAAAAGTGGTGTAAGGGAGGTAATTCAAAGTTGTGTTTGAATTACCTCCCTTACACTGTAATTTGTACTTAATTGTCCATTAACCAGGACACCCTTGTTTTTTCTCACTTTTTCGGCCCCAATTCCTAAACGGTTTGAGCCATAACCCCCCAAAGCCAATCATAACCATCCCTTTGTGGTATAGAAACTTGTGGTATAATTTCAGAGAGATCCATACACGTTCCACAAGTTATTGTCTGGAAACTAGAAAAATGCTTATTTGGGCCCCTTTTTGGCCCCTAATTCCTGAACTGTTCGGACCATAACCCCCAAAATCAATCCCAACCTTCCTTTTGTTGTTATAAACCTTATGTTTAAATTTCATAGATTTCTATTTACTAATACTAAAGTTATTGTCCGGAAACCAAATGTCTTCGAATGACGACGATGACATGAAATCCAAAACTTTTTGCGGTCGTATAAAAATGAAGCGGTGTGTGAAAAAGCAACAAGAAAAATTAATTTCAGAATTTTTTTACAAAAACTTTCCTTTGATATATCTGTGTGTGAAAATTTTACATCACAACTAGTCAGCTGAGATGGGGTTTTCTTAGTCTAGTAGAATGAGAATTGGATGACCTCATAAGAAAAGGTCTCATGAATGTTCCCTAGGAAAATAGCGATTAACAGATCATTTATGGTCTCTCAAACTCAAGGAGTTTCTTGGCTATATTTACTCTAAATTGTAGTATTGTTTTCAAAACTAAAGATAATCAGTATAACAATTGAAAATAAACAAATTCTTACCAGTCTGATTAATCCAATTGATAGTTAAAAAAATGTGCAATCCTCATAAAAAAAACCAATCACTTTTATACATTTACAAACTTTTAATTCCAACTTCCAGAAGATGATAAAACGTGCAACCGTGCATGAAAAATAAATAATACTTCCCAAAAAATGTTTTAAAACTGTAATATTTACAAGAAAATAATCCTTCTCCAAAAAAATGTGCACTGATTGATTCAAAAGCAATATTGTTCCAGCTACCCTTTAGGTTACCTTACGGGTTGTAAAGCCAACTTGAAATGAGACTAGTGGACAAAAGTCCAATGCCAACTTGAAACTTACAGTAGATGATACTAACTGTGGGAAAAAGAGAGATACATCGTATGATTACAAGTGAGGAATACGCTGACATACAGTATACACATAACTTAATTACCTGTTCAGTGGTGTAAAACATTAATCTTAAACACTTAATTACATTACTAACGGACACAGTCATTTGTCAAAACAAGTCACCTCAGCAACGTTGGTCAAGTGCATTGAGGTGAATAACTGTCCATATATATAATGGGAGCTCGTTTGGTCCAGTGCATTGGTGTGAACTGTCCGTAAATGTTAATGAGAGCTAACTGTTACTGTTTTTCCAGAATTTGAAAATCTCGCTTTAAGACCAGTCTGACCTAAGAGGAGGAGGAAATCCCCCACTTGGCAGAGAAAAAATCTCCAAATTGCTCCCACTTGCATCATTACTATCAAAATTAAAATTGATAATGATGACCTGATGATCTGACTGTTAAATGTTCAGTGGCAAATTAAATACGTATTCAGGACGAAAACATGTTAATGCAACATGAATATGAATTCTGCAATATATTAGACCAACACGCTGAGCAGGATTTTTAATGTGTTAGTTCACAAAAGTAACAGTCAGCTAAAAGAAATGTCACTCTATATCCATTGAGCACCAAAGAATAAAATGACAAATTAATTTTGATGTCAAAATCCTACTAATAATTCAATTCAAATTATGATGTCAAAATTGAAATTTGTGTCTAAACTCATGAATACTAATGAAAAGTTAAACAGGTTAAATAAATTTGTCACATGAAAGAGAATTAAATTTTGCAAAAAAAAAGGTTAAACAAATCCCTACGTTAAGCACTAAACAAATCTTAATCCATAGGAGTAAAATTTCAGCAGTTGACTTAAGACTTTGGGGAGGGGGGAATATATTATCAATAAAACAAAGCAGTTTAACTGACACGAGATGTCAAAGCCAGAGTGTTACGGAAAGGACTCATTTTCAGATTTGTCATTCCTTTTTTGATTAATTTGACTTTTACAGATATAAAGTATTGCAAAAACAGAATAATATGTGACAGTACAGTATTCCATATATGTAAAAATTGTGCAAAAACAATGTCATACAGAGAAATTATTTAAAGATAAAGAATTATAGCTTTGGACAGAAAAAACCTTTCATCTGTATAGAACTTGAGAAACAAGTTACAGACTTTTTAATCACATTATTCTAGCCAAAATATTATAATATTTTTCCAATTAAATTAAAGTTTTAACTTTGAATGAAATAATATTACCTACTTGACGATCTTCTACATGAACAATCAACAAAATATTTTATTTTCTCATTAAAATAATTACGTCAGTGTCGCTAGAAAAGGATTGTTTTATGACATCATTTTCCACCTTGATTCATATGTATTAATGTGGGGTACTAAGTATTTTTGTGGATTTCGAACATTGTCTGAGGGAGTTGTTATATCTAATTTTACCAATACCAAACAATACATATTATTTTGCACTTAATGTGTCATTGTGACTGAAGAAAAAAGCATCTGTTAATTGATTACCTATGAATTCAAAATATTTTACTTACATACATGAAATAGTAATATTATATGTATGATAATAGGTTTAATTTTACTTGGTTAAAGTTGGGTCTTTGGTTTTTTTTCAGCAATCAATTTAACTGCATAATCTCTGTACACTGGAAATTGCT